AAATCGCACTTTGTGCATTTTTCCGGTACCTACAAATCTCGTTTTTCTTGCTTGGAGAGTCCATGAGAGTCCTCTCTCACACTACGGCCATAATTCAAGATTGCAATCAGAAAAAGACTAGGAGAGATCAGAAACATTGATAAGTCAAGACGTATATTTCGAAGAAAATGGAAAGAAATCAGTCACCTTCCTTGAAAAATCCGTGCGATTTGGTCCGGCATTGGTGGATGATTCACGTACAGTATGACTACAGTATAATTGTCGATGAGCATCATAAGTAGTTTGAGATGAAAAAGACACTCCACAGGTACACGAAAAGGGTCGGTCCGGATAAAAAGGTTCGCTGCTTGAACTTTTGGAAGTTGGAGAACAACTGGGAGATATGGAAGGGATTCTGGCTTCCATAGTAGAAGTAGATGATTCTTTGGCAGTGGATGTGCTCGGAATTTTGAACGCGCCATTACCTTCGAAAAACTAGAAAACTTTTTTCAGGTAGAAATGAGTGGCGGAAAAGATGAAGCCAGCGACAAAGCGTTGTTGAAGATTCTGAAGAAAAAATCGCAAAACACAATCGCCATTTTTTCCAGAGGAGAGTATTTCACTGTCTACGGCGATGATGCCAGCTTTGTTGCAACTAACATTTTCAAAAGCGATGTTTGTGTCAAGACATTCACACTCTGTAGTAAGTGCTGAGAATAAGTTATATCTTTCAGCATTTTTTTTTCAGCTAACGATTCACAACAGATGAAGTATATTTCCGTGAATCGTGGACAATATGAGAAGGTGGTTCGAGAAACGGTGGTACTTCTGAGGTGTTCTGTGGAGGTTTTCGCTAGTGAACAGGGAGAATGGAAAATGATCAAACGGGGATCACCTGGAAATACAGTCGAGTTTGAACAGGAAATTGGAGTTGTTGATCAGGCTCCAGTTATCGCTGTGTACCTCCATCCTGGAGATAATGATGTATGTTTTTAAAATTGAGTAACGATTCTAATAAGCTACCGTTGTAGATTCGGGTGGCTTTGTGCGCATGGGATTCGGGAAACGTTCGAATTGTGACGAGCGAATTTATTGACACTAGCTGCTTCTCTCAAATCGAGCAATGCATCTTTGGACTGTGTCCAACGGAGTACATACTGGTTAATGGAACAGCTTCTGGACCAAAAGTGAAGAAGTTGGCAAGCATGTTCACAAAGATGGAGGTGCACTGTAAACAACAAATGAAACAAAAATCCGAATGGAAAGATGTCCTAGAATGCATCCATCAAGACTACAGAGGTTTCGTTTCTAGAGGCTAGACCAGAGATAATATTGGTTTTCAGAAGAGGCTGAAAAACAAAGTGATCAAGTGAAGGAGTGTCTTCAGATACTACACGCAAACGTCGCCGATGAATACAGCCACTCAGAAAAATACAGTATTTTTAACTATGGAACTCATGGAAATATGCAAATCGACTCTTGCGCTGTCGAAGCCTTGGAGCTTTTCCAGTTGAATTACAATTATCTTGGTGAGTTGGAACATAATAACAACCCATATTCGCATCACTTTTGCAGAGAAATCAAACAACCTGACTTTGTACAATGTCTTAAATAAGTGCAAAACTCTACCTGGAGAGAAGCTTCTCCGGGATTGGCTTTCACGCCCACTTTGCAATGTTGACCATATTAACGAACGGCTGGATGTCGTGGAAGCATTATCTGAGAATCAGACAATCCGTCAGAAACTACACGATTCGTTTCTTGCAAGAATGCCAGATTGCTCACAACTGGCGCGTCGACTTATGCGAAAATGTACTCTTCAAGATCTCAATCGATTCTATCAAGCAGCCACCCTTCTTGAAAGCGTGGAACTGCAACTGATTCATCTCTCCGAAGATGAAAGATTCTCCGCTTCCATTGATCGTCTTCTCAAGTCGGAAGTAACTTCGATTTTGAAGAAAGTGGAAAGATTTCTAGTTCTGTGCGATGAATTCTTCGATTTTGACTATGAAAAAGAGCATAAAGAAATTCGAGTTCGTGTTGATTTCGTTCCGGAAATTCAAGAGATCAGTGAGAAGCTCGAGCAAGTGGAAAAAATTGCAGAGAAATTACGCAAGAAATATTCTTCGAAGTTCGAATGCGAAAATATGAAACTGGATAAGAACTCATTATATGGCTACTATTTCAGAGTCACTTTGAAGGTTAGCTGTGTGCAACTGAAGTTATTCAAGAATATATTTCAGGATGAAAAAGCTATTCGTAAGAAGGATGTTCAAATTTTGGAGACTACAAAAGGTAGTGGAGTGAAGTTTACGGTTTCAGATCTCACTGAAATTAATGACGAGTAAGGCAATTAACAAAGATAATTATTAAATCGGATTCTTATCAGATTCCTCGAATTCCATGTAAAGTATACGCGCGCAGAGGAAGAAGTCGTCTCAATGTTATGCAAAAAAGCCGAAGAATTCATCCCCCTGATTCCTGCAATGGCTCAAATCATCTCAACTCTTGACGTTTTCTTTCATTAGCTACATTCTGTTCAATGTCTTCCGGAATATATGTCAGACCTCAACTTTTGCCACTTGGATCGAAATGTCTTGAGTTGAAACAATGTAGACATCCAGTTATCGAAAGAAACAGTGAGAAACCATTCATTCCAAATGATGTCATTCTGAGTAAGTTGTTTTACCGTTTGCAGTTTAAAAAGAGGGATTTTTCAGAAGAAAACCGCCTAATTGTTCTCACTGGTGCTAACATGGGTGGCAAAAGCACATATCTTCGTTCTGCAGCTCTTTCCATTCTTCTTGCTCAAATCGGGTCATTCGTTCCATGCAGTTCTGCTATGATTTCCGTTGTGGACGGAATCTTCACCCGTGTTGGCGCCTCTGATAAGCAATCACAAGGAATTTCAACATTCATGGCTGAAATGCTTGACTGCTCCGCAATCCTTCAAAGAGCAACCGAAAATTCGTTTGTTGTTATTGATGAGCTTGGACGCGGAACATCTACTTTTGATGGATTCGGAATCGCTTCCGCCATTGCACAGGACATCCTTAATAGGATCAAATGCCTATGCATCTTTGCCACTCACTTCCATGAAATGGGAAAACTTGCTGAACAACCTGGCGCTATTGCTCTACAGATGGGAATTCAAATCGAGAACAACCAAATTCACATGCTCTACAAAGTCTTCGAAGGTATTGCACAGCGCTCCTTTGGTTTGCAAGTAGCAAAAATGGTTGGACTTGATGAAGATGTTATCAATGTAAGATCATAAATCCTGCCTGATTGAGATTTCGATATTTCAGAAAGCATCTCAACTATTGGAAAATCTCCAGAAGAAGGTCATCATCGATAGTGAAAAAAAGAAGGAACTTCTTGAATCTTCCGACATCAGACAATCTATTCTCCGCCTCATCAACTGATCAATTGTATAACTACATTTTTATCAAATTCACTTTTATTGAAATTTTGTTCAATAGTAAACCTCTCATACATCCACTACTGTTCGTTTGACCTAGTTTTGTTAGCTGCTTAAAACTTGAAGCGTGGACAAAGATTCCAAAGATAAAATAACAACGCTGCGGTTTAAAAAAATCTGTTTTCGTTCGATTATTTCGGCATGTCACGACGAAGATCATTGTCACGATTTGGAAGAAAAGTCATGTTTAGAAACAGATCGAAGAGCAATGATCGCTCGAAAAGACAGAAATCAAAGGATCGTGGACGGGCGCCGCCGATTTCTTTCGATTATGATTTGTCGGTATGGAAATTGAGTAAAAAATGAAAAGATTCGAAAAAATTTTAAGAATGTGGTTAATCATCTGGAAGCTCTCATGAATGCTGCCCGATATGGAAATACTGATCTTCTTTACAAAGTAAATTATGGAATTTCTCTAGGAATAGACTTCAAAAAACAAGCAATTTCAGCTGTATATTCATCATATCGACCTGAAAATGACTGATGAAACTGGAAACACTGCAATGCATGTAGCTGTTATGGTTAGATAGAAGAAATGTAGTTTGAAATTTTCAATTTCGATTTTAGAATAATCAAAAGAAAATCGTTCGGATGTTGGTAGTGTTATGTGCTCCGTGCAAAATCTGGAAAGTAAAAAACAATAATGGGTTGACATCAACTGAATTATGTACCGATAAGAAGAATGTTTGATATTTTCAATCTGTAATTTATTTGGTAGTTTTCCAGAATTCGAGAAGACTTCGCTGGTCTAGATAATCCTCCAAGTCCAATTCCAGAAGGTTTTGTTGATGTGGATAGTCATTATAATGACCTTTTGGTAAAAGAGAAGAAAACATGGAAGCCTGAAGAACGAGTACTGCTTTCATTGGATGGAGGTGGCATTCGAGCTGTTATCACAATCCAAATGCTCATTCATATTGACAATATGCTTGATGGGAAATTAGTTGAAAAGATTGATGATATGGCTGGAACAAGTTGTGGTGGTGTGATTACTCTTTTACTCTCGACAAACAGTATGTTTCAGGAATCCTAATTTTTCCGCCATAGAGGTGATTGGATAATTTTTCTTGGGTTTGGAGTTAAAAAATGTTTGAATTCTTCTCATCGAATAGAAATTAAAATTAAAAAAAAAAGACATTCAAATTCGTACGAAATGTGTATCAACTGTTTTATTTTAACCAATTTTAGATCGAAACATAGAAGAAACTCGCAAATTATTACTGGAGATGCGAGAACGAGTTTTCATTCGTGAAACTGACAAAAGTGTACCGAAATATAGTTCCTCTGGAATGGAGTATATAGCTCGGCACGTCACCACTTGGGAAGATTCTAAAATGTCAATTATCAAGAGACACAGAGCTATGGTTACTGTAGCTGACACTCGAATGGTTCCTCCACAACTTCTTCTTTTTCGTTCGTATTGTCCAGAAATGCCAGAAGATGTATGTGAACATTACAAGTTTCTAGATCCTGCAAAAGTAGAACTATGGAAAGCACTTCGGTGTACAACGTAATCAAAGTCCCAAAACATTGTTGTAATTTCGAAAACTTTTCAGAGCAGCTCCTTACTTTTTTGAATCCTTTAATGGTCTTTCTGATGGTGGCCTGATTGCTAACAACCCTACTCTCGCTCTTATTTCTGATTTTCTTTTGACAAATAAATTAGAAAAGTCTTTCGCCAAAACCGCAGAAGAAAAAGAAAAGAAAGGAAATTGGAAGATTGGATGTGTCATTTCTCTAGGAACTGGTGTTTTTCCCACTGAGAAAATCGATGGAATCGATCTTATTGTGGCTCATGCGGTAAGGATTTTTAAAATTCTGAGCATATTGGAAACCATTTTTTTCAGAAGAACCCAATTCAATTTGCAAAGTCATGTTACAAAGCATTTGCGAGTACTAGAAATTTGCTTCATGTTCTTGTTAAAGAGGTTAAGAAAAAAACAAAGTTGACTAGTTAACTATAGTCTGGTACTTTATGATTTTAGTGTACTGCATCGAATGGACAACCTGTGAAATACGCAAGAGAGTGGTGTCATTCTATTGAAACCCCGTACTTCCGGTATGTGTCTCATCTGCTTTTCTCCATAAATATTGTTCTTTTCAGATTTTCTCCACACCTGTCACAAGGAATATCTTTGGATGAAATTGATTTAGAAAAAGTGATGCAAGTGATGTGGGAGACAGAACTCTATGTTGCTTCGCATCGGAGCCAGTTTGTCAAATTAGTAAACTTCCTGGCTACAAAGCCAAAAAGAGAGGGCTTCGAAAACCCAGCCAACACTCAAGATTCGGACAGCATGGAACAGACAGTGTCAGAAAGATCAGAAACTACTACAACTACTACTATGGCTACTACTACAACTACGGAAACTGTTTAACATCATGAACTATAAAGTGTTTTAACAATTTCTCAATATTTTATAAAATAAAAGAATCCGATTTTACATGCAAACGGGGTGATCTGGGTCTCTAGGAAGCACACCCAACGATTGTAGAGCCACTTGACAAGCTACGGCTTTTCCTTCTTTCTTCTGTTTGGATCCACACATTGGACGATACTGAACATTGTTGATAACGACGGTCCAGATGAACATTTTCGAATGATCAGCACCAGATTCTTCGCATGTAAACGATGGCGCATTCCATCTCCGCTTTGCGCAAAGTTCCATTACCAAAGAAATGGGATTTTTAGCTGTAAATAAAGGCGTTCTTTGTATCAACCTGCTTAAAATTACTCACTTGACAAATCAATCGGTACATTATTCTGTGTATTCATCTTATTCCGTTGCTTCGTCGACATCTCCACTTCTGCCATCAAACCCTTCCGATCACTTTTAACATCGAGAACAAGAGGTTCGACATTTCCGGTTGCATCTTTTCCAAGACCTTCTCCAGGGCGCCAACCCATTTTTTCTAACATCATCCGACCGATTCCAGTCGTTGCCGGAGCAGCGTTTCTGAACTGATCCTGAAAAACACATTTACTTCTTAGACGTTAGACCGAGCCAAAAAGACAATTGCAAAATTCATCGTCGTTGCAGAATCTATTTCTCTTCTCTCTGGATTTTGCCTCTAGATGAATCACGTTTCATATAAAGTTAGAATTCAAAAATTGGTAATGTTTTTTACAGATCACATATGGAGTACCGTAGTAAAAGGCAATAGGCTAGAGATAAAAGAAATAGGAATTGCAAACGACTCACGACTGATTGACGGCTAGAGAGTAGTAGCTGCTGATAGAGAAGTTGATTCCGAAGAAGTAGCCGATAATGATGATGATGTTGATGATAGAAATCGTGACACTCTGCTTCAAAATCAAATGTGAAGAACATGACATTTATGATATAAATGTCATGATCTTCACATAAACACTCGACAGAGTGCCCCGATTTGGCAATTATAGTCAGATATATTTATATGAAGGAAATTGAACCAACCTTTTTTACCCATGCGTGGAACTTTGGATTGTGTGGTTGTAACTCATCTGCTGAGAGTAATCGTAAACCAGTGGTTCCGGTGTATTCCCCTGGCAAACTCTTAAGAGCAGCCCATAGTTTGATCTAAACTTCAACTCGTGATTAATTTCATTTGGAAATTAATTACCTGTTCATTTGCTTCTTTCAAGGCACGATGTGCTTCAAAGTCGTTTGGTGTCGCTAGAACTTTTCCTTGTGCTTCTGTACGTTTTTTCAACACTTTTCCAATGTCACTTGGGGCAGGAGCTGTGATGTCTTTTGGCTCTTTGAGAATCATTTTATCTTTAGTAGGAACATATAGAACTGATGGAAGTGAAGGAGGCGTTGGTGGGCGGAAAGCTGAAAAAGGAAAACTAATTTTATCACAGACCAGGATGACTCGAACTTACGATCACTGGGATTGGGCATAAATTGAGGAGGCATCGGAGGAGGAGGTAGGATTGAATTGAGGAACTTGGGAACGGGAACTGGGGCAACGGGCTAAATTAATTTGAGAGGATTTGAATACGTTCGAAACAAACTACAACTTACAATTCCTTGAGCTCTGCATCTGTCAATTTCAAGACTAGTGAGAGCCACGTGTTTCTTTTGTTCAACTGAGCAGCTTTTTGGAACGTCTTCTTTTTCCACTGGGATCCATTCAGCATTCTCTCTATGAACTTCACCAGATGAAACAGGATAAACGATACGTAACTGGGATGCTGGAAGCTGGGTCGGCTCTTCAGGTCCTGTCAGAGCTTTTTGAGCTAAGCTAGCTGAAGTAGCAGTCTGAAAACCAACGAATTATGGTACCACGAGTCGGAATGGCCAGTTTACCACAATATTAATTCGGATAGGGTCCTTTGGCATAGCGTACGGATGTTTGTATCTCACTGTCTCTCCATCGCTGTCGTGATCACTCACAGCTTGCCCAGCTTCTCGTCGTTTTTCCCGCTCTTGTCGTTTTTGTAATTTTTTACAGTAAGCTGAAGAAATTTTGAAAAAGTTTTCAAAAAAAAAGTTTATCCCGGTACTCACTAACGAAATCTTCGATAGAAGCATTATCTCTGTCTCCATGCGACATCATTTCTGCTCGCTTCGTCTTCGCAATAGCGAGCAACTTGTCTTTATCAATAACTTCCCTGCTTCGTGACCGCCTTCTTCTACGTTCGTTGAAGTCTCTTCTTTCTCTCGATTGACTTCTCCATCTGGTTATTCGGTCAGAACTTCTAGATCTTCGTTCACGAGATACCGATCTTCTTGTAGTACGGTCTAACTTTCTTTCAATAAATGGCGAAGGAGAACGTCTTCGGGGAAGCAGCCGTTCCCTCTCCCTCGATCGAGAACGACGACGAACATCCTTTCTGAAAAAAAAGTTTTAGAAAAATAAGGTTTTTTACATGGATTACCTGTCTTTCTTTTTGGAATCATGATTCGATACACTACTCTTACGCTTCCGTTCTGATTTGTCTTTCTTTTTGTTCTTGTCTTTCTCTTTTCGATCTTTACTCTCCTTTTTTACTTCGACAATGTCGCCATTCGAGGAATCCTGAAAATTATAAGATCTTACATATTTTCAAAAATCGTATACTTACTTTCTTATCATTTGTATTTTCCTCATGATCTGGAAAAACTGCATCGGCAGGACCATACACAAAATCTTCTATTTCTCCATCTTCAATATCTTTTTTCGTCGAATTTTCCTCCACTAAAGGAAGAACGATCGAAACCTTCGTCTTTGTCTCCTCGTTTACCTCTGGCAAGATGATGGCTGAGGTCTGTTTTGAAGCTTCCGAAAATCCTGGGTCTGTCAATGATTCGTGACTCTTTTCTTCGCTATGCAATCTATAAAATTATCGAATAATTTGAAATGAGACTCTCTAAATTTACTCTTTAGGCGGCGTTGGTAGCTTGGTTTCAGCTTTCGATTCCACAATGTGTGGTTTTTCCTTTTCCAATGCACTCTGACTAACCCTGCTGCTTCTTGACCTACTCCTGCTTCTACTTTTTCGCTTTTTGTGGTGTTTTTTACGTTCTCTGCTGTGATTTCTACTTCGACTTCGGCTTCTTGAGCTGTCGGACCATGTCCTACTTCTTTTCCTCCGCTCTTTCTTGCTTTTTTTCGATCGATGACTACTTCGGTGCTTATGACTTTTCTTTCTTTTATCTTCTACAATGGCGCTGTCATCACATCTAGCGATTTTATCAACAGAGATCATCTGAAATATACAAAAATGGCTTTTCTGTTTCATAAATAGTAGACCTACCTTTTCGGATGATTTCAAATCATTCAAGAGATCGGCAATAATCGCTTCACTATTGTTTTTTGGCGCATTTTCCCCATTATCCATCTTTGAACCTAAAAAGAAAATATTCGTCTTGGGTTGCTTGAAACCTAAACGACACTCCGGAATAACGGTGTGACTCGTAAATCGACCCCGGCCGCTGCCCACTGCGGCCGTGGCCGCCACCTCAGTTTGTTGTTGTGCTGCAGCCCCATTTTTTGCAATGTTTTTGTGAGCTCTGTTTATTATTGAACAACAAGAGAACAATTGATTTTTACTTTCTCGTTGCGAAATATCTTGTATTTCTTGTCAGCAATAATTCCTCACTGTGTCTTTCTTCTCCCTCTCCCTTCAGGGAAATCGTGAGAATCACTAATTACCCGCTCACATGACCCTACCCATCTAATGTTGGATGGACCACTGCGCAAGTAACGAGCCCTGAGCTGGGTAGCAGATGTGAATGCGACCTCTTCAGTCATTCAAGTTTTCAATTTTTATTTGCCAAGCTGTGTCTTCTGAGACATTCCTTCTAGAAATAACAATTTTTTTAAATTTAGGTTGCCGAGCGCCTATTTTTTGTTGAATTTCTATTCGATTTTTGATGTATCGTTGTTTTTAGCAGTTTTGTAAAAAATATATCTTTGGCCGTTTCTCTGTTTATCTCGAGCGATTTATAAATAATCATTTAATGCTTTCAGAGTAAACAGAATCCGAAAACATGGCAAAAACATATGACTACTTGTTTAAGGTAAGTTGGTGTTCCGTTTTCAGAAGTTTATTATGAAACGCCTTCGAAGCATCAAAATTCCGTTTACAAAAAAATATTTTCAGCTCTTGTTAATCGGAGACAGTGGAGTAGGAAAGACGTGTGTACTCTTCCGGTTCTCTGATGACTCATTCAACAACTCTTTCATCTCGACGATCGGAATCGATTTCAAAATCCGCACGATTGAACTCGATGGGAAGAAAATTAAACTGCAGATTTGGTAAACACTGGCTGTACTGGTGGTATATTAACATAAGATTGTTTCAGGGATACAGCCGGACAGGAAAGGTTCAGAACGATCACAACTGCATACTACCGAGGAGCCATGGTAAGTAGTATCTCCTACTCGCTCTTTTGGTGTGTTGTTTGAAACACTGTTTATGTTAGGGACTAATTTAAGATGAAATTCATAAAATATAGATTCTTAGTGTTTTGTTTTTAAAATTATTGAAGGTCAATAATAAACCAAATTTTAGGGTATCATCCTGGTCTACGATATCACAAATGAACGGTCATTCGAAAACATCAAAAACTGGATTCGCAACATTGAAGAGCACGCAGCATCGGATGTTGAACGAATGATCATTGGTAACAAGTGTGATATTGAAGAACGTCGCGAAGTGTCACGGGAGCGTGGAGAACAGCTGGCTATTGAATACGGCACCAAGTTCCTTGAAACCTCGGCGAAAGCAAATTTGAATATTGATGAAGCATTCTTCACGCTGGCCCGCGACATCAAGAGCAAGATGGAGCAGAACGAGATGCGTGCCGGAGGATCAGCGTCAAACACGGGCCGTGTGAATGTTGGCGGAACAGGAACGCAGAAGAAGAGCTTCTTCAGCAACTGGAGTTGTTCTTTGCTCTAAATTATGCCTGCCTATTTCGCCATTTTTCTGCCTTTTCATAGTGTATCATATCTTTCTTTTCTCAACTTATTTCCGTTTGTACCCGCTCTTATTTTAATTTTGTATCGACTACGGTTATAATTTGAAAATAACCTTTATTCACAAAAATCATCATGGTTTCTCCGTAGACCATAATAACATACACCTGATTTTTCTTCAAATCTCTCGCTTCTTCTTTTAGTCTGCTCCTCGCTTTTCCTATTCAATTCATCTCTCTTGCATATTCACCAGCATTCTGATGAGATAACTTTTCAGGATTTGAAATGTTTTCCTTAATGTATGAAAAAAATTGTATGTCTTTTTGTATTTATTGAAAAACATTCCAGAGTTTTATTTCTCTAGTGGGGATCAAAAAGATCAGAAAGCCTAGAAACAGTTTTCAATCAGAATTTGAGATTCAGTGTGAAAAATATATCTTCCGATTTTAACCCATTTATCAGGGGAAAGTCGAACTGGAGAAGAAAAAGAGACTATAAACAAATACCTGTTACGACAAGAATTACCTGTACGATTTTCAAAATTAGGTATTTCTCTGAAAACTCGGACGATGGCTCTTTGACTACATCTACTTTTCGATTCCATTTTTCTCTTTGGCTATAAAAAACCTGGATAGTGAACCAGTTGCAGCTGATATAGCAAATAAGTTCCTGAGAATGTATTCATATTGCAACCCATAAAAATACTCATTATATCAAAGAGATATCCTAAAACGAAACATTTCAAGTTTGATATTCATGAAGTGATTGATCAGTGAATGAAATTAGGTTAATGATAGTTGAAAAAGGTTGAGAGACGACAAAGGTTGAGAGACGCGCACGTAGCCACTGATAAGCAGCTCACGTAGCGAATCTTATCAGGGGTTGTTCGATGCACGCACACTAAAATGTAGGTCTTTGTTTGATGTTGGAGCTCACGTTTTGAAATACACAAAAAGCATGACAGTCTTCTAACTTTTTGTCATGATTGGCTTGATAAATATCAGTATCGATCGCCGATTTATGTGTTGATGATAAAGGGTCAGGGACACGATACGTCACGGAATTCGACCTAGATTGAGAAAAATACCGTCATTCAGTATCAGTATAGGATCACTTTCTACATAGGACACACGTCGTTTCGTCTTCTTTCCCAGCACATCTCTTTTTACACATTTTGAGAATGCATTCGATTTTCAGGACAGTACTTGTCAGAAGTACTATTAGACCGCTGATGGTGACTCGCAACTTCACTGGATTTTCATTCCCGTTAGTTATCGGGTTTAAAATTTTTACTTCTGGACTTCTTATCAAAAACATAGAAAACATTATTCAACTCAAATTCTGAAATCCTGATAGAATTTTTTTCTTTTCAAAACTTTCCAAATTTTCGCTAGACCCATTCGTTGACTATTCTTTACTTTTCTTCAGAATGATCTATAGGCGCGCTAAAATTTGTTTTTGTTGAATGTTACCCGCCAAACAGTCTTCTAATTTGTATTTGATTTGAAAGTAATCGATTCAGGTGGCTCGGGATCAAATTCTTATTTGGCGCTGATCATTGTTTTTTCTTTAACTTGCTCTTCCTTGTATCCGTAACTTTTGCTCTTATCATTTGTATGCTGACTCCACCCACACATTTTCTCCGCCCATCTCTCTTTAAATACAACACTGCCGGCTCATTAAGCAGTATTGCAGAATCACTAATAGCAAACAATCACCAACCATGTCGCTCGCTCGTCAAAATTACCACTCCGAGGTTGAGGCTGCCGTTAACAAACAAGTTAGTTTTTCGATGCTCGATTCTGATGTGTCGATTCGTTTCAGATCAACATTGAGCTCTATGCCTCATACGTCTACCTCTCCATGTCATTCTACTTCGATCGTGATGATGTTGCACTTCCAAACATTGCCAAGTTCTTCAAGAACCAATCTGATGAGGAACGTGAGCACGCCACTGAGCTGATGCGCGTCCAGAACCTTAGAGGAGGACGTGTTGTTCTTCAAGACATCCAAAAACCAGATAAGGACGAGTGGGGAACCGCTTTGAAGGCTTTCGAGGCCGCTTTGGCTCTTGAGAAGTTCAACAACGAGTCACTCTTGAAGTTGCACTCAACTGCTGGAAACCACAATGACGCTCACCTGACCGATTTCATCGAGGAAAAATATTTAGATGAGCAAGTAAGTATAAGGGATGACAAGGTTCTGAAATTATCAAGAAAGGAATTCCTTAACAAAGATCCTAAATGTCGTATTTTCCAGGTAAAATCCATCAATGAGTTCGCTCGCATCGTCGCCAACTTGAAGAGAGTCGGACCAGGAGTTGGAGAGTACGTCTTCGACAAAGAACACTTCTCCGATTAAATCATCTCTTTCCTAAAAATCTCCAACAAATTCTCTTCTACTTCCTGTACATAATAACTTGCGAATCGCTCACAAATTGTTGATCAATGAAATTATTGCATGAAGTGTTTGAAATTGTGTCGTTTAATTTTTTTTTGTGCCGTGGCACGAGTCGGGCTGATAAGAGGCATCATGTTCTGAGCCCTATTTTCCTTCTTGACTTTGCTACAACCATTCTCGGAATCGGAAAAGGAGAAGCATTAACAAATATAAGCTACGAAAAGTGTAAAATTAGAAAGTTTTTTTTTTCTCATCTCCGGGATTTGTTTGGTTTCTAATGAAAATCCGGAGACCGATGCAAATGGGTCGACGAGATGAGTTATGTTCGCGAAAGGACATTTCTATGTTTGCATTAAATTGTTTTATAGAAGAAACGTCAGAATGAGAATGTTAAGAGAAGTTCAAACATGAAATCTTTAGACTTTTAGTTTTAATTCCTGGAACATGATTACTGTAGGAGTTCAACAGATTTTCAATGGTCCCAGCCTGTTTGCGGCTCTAACGTCCGGCTGGCGTGTGTACGGCGTGTCTACGGCGTACCTACGGCGCATTTTCGTGGCTCTGTTCCTCATTTTTTTACACTAATTTGAAAACTAATGTTGATTTCTGAAATTCAAATGAACAGTTTTCGAATTGTGGTTCTGATCTGCAAGACCCAAAACTTGTATGGCTGACCAAATTTTGTCTCAAGGCCTGGAATTTTCAATCTGGGAAACGAAATGACATAAAAAGAAAAAAAAGTGACACCACTCCATTTATTTATTATAAGAAGACATGCGAAAATTAGGAGACGAAAGTTCATTATTAGCGTTTCAAGAACTAAAAAACGAAAATTCAAGACACCGTTTGTTTCCAGTCTCAAACTTCTAAATGCACTTTTTATCCCAGAATTGGCGCACACTCATCAGTAACTTCAAATATTCTTCTGTTCAGAAATGTTTTCAATGCTCAATTAAATATTCTTTTTTTTTGTTGATTCAAATGAAATGTGATTTGAGCGATTTGACAAGATTAGCGGATCATACTGTTTGCACATAATCGAGTGTCACTTGGAGAGATTTTCTCAGAAACAGAGTCCAGCCAGTCCATATCTATGAATAAAATACTCAAAGAAATGAAATTCGTTTTTAAAACTTCAAATTCGATGAAGAATTTCGGTATGAGCTGTACAATCTACTGAATAAGGTTGCAAGCTGCTGGAGTCCAGAATGTAATTCATACTTCAAATGCCACAACTCTTTGTTCTATTTTTCCTTTTGGAGCAGAGATTAGCGGAATTTCTTATTTCTTATTCATTCTTCTGGATTTTAAAATTTTCATCCCTTCTTCCTTATTCCTTATTCCTGATTTTTTATCATTTTTCCGGAAAATTTGATCAATTTTTAGTTTGAAATGTTTTCAATTTTTAATATTATTTAAGCTTAAAGTACTACTTGAAATGTGTATTCTAAATTTCCTTTCTACATGTTATCTTCAAAAAATAGGCAAGAATATTTCAATTTTACAAACTGTTGTTCCTTATTCCTTCTTAAATATTCTAAATTTTTATTCCGTTCATCTCCGTTTTGGAGTCCCTCTGAAGAAGTAAACTCTGCCAAATCTACACTTTCCCATCCAAATGTATCTTCTTTTCTCATTTCACTAATTCTCTCAATTACATAAAAAGGAAACGCTTTCTTCACTTTCTTCACATTTCTCTCAATGAGGAAATATGCAATTCAATTTCTATATTGTTATTAGAAGTTCGTTTTGTGTGAATTATGACGAGTGGCCACACATACACTCTTTAGACATCCCACTGACTATTTCAAGTTTGCCAATGATTCATATAGTATTATTGAAGTATACGGTAAACAAAAGAGTGACTTGTCACTGAGATTGATATAAAGTCTGTGTTTGCATGGTCCATGACTTTTGTCGCTTTGAGGATGTTTTTACTTGGTTTAATAGAGTGACCAAGCCACAGAATGGAGCTTGAAATATGACAAAAGTTTTAATCTCAAATATCTAGTATGAATTGATATCTTTAAAACAATTCTTAATGGTGTTTCTACTTTTTCATTCAATGAACTGATTCACATCATACTTGAAAATTTTCTAGTTTCTGTTAGGATCAATATTTAGGACCAACTAAAATAGATACAATAGAATTCGTTAAATACTACAAAATGATATTGTTTTGAAAACTGTACCTAATCTGTGAACAAAGTTATAGATGAAACGGGCGAAAAATGGGAGGGCCCGGATCAGCAGCTTTTTCGGTTGTAACTTTGTTCATAAACGAGATACAGTTATCCAAATAATATTATTTTGTAGTACTCATCGAGTTCTATCATATCTATGTTAGTTCGTTAAAAAATATTGGTCCTAAAAGAAAATATGGTAAGGCGCGCCAGTGTCCCGTTGTTTGTCCGTTTTCATGTCTGGTTCAAATTTTTTGTATCGTTCTCAAAACCTCCCGTCATGCAAACGAAATTCCCGATAAATGTTAAGTAATAACTGTGAAGAGGTCATGAACCTATAACAATACAAAGTATTCCGAAAGGATACTTTTTCCGAAAGAAAATGATTAGCCTTATCAAAACCGTCATACTTTTCCACCCTTTTCTTCGTTTGTTCTTCTTTTCTGAAAGTACTCGGCAAGAACGGAGATTCCGATTTCTTGGGCCGGTCATAAAACCTGTTTCCCTTACCGAATGTTGTTGTTGCCACGTCACGGGAGGTACTTCCGAATAACCATCAACTTTTAATTGTCGTTTTGTCTTCACCAATTCTTCGCTTTTGGAAGTGATATAACTTTTACGCTTCTATCCTGTTTGCCCTTTTTACACCACCTACTATTTTGGACTTTTCAACATAGAACTACTGCTGTCTAGAATATCGGTTTTCATGAAAAAAATGAACAAAAGTTTTTTTGAGCAAAGACATACGATATTTTCCTATTATTTTTTGGGAGATATCAAATTTATGAAAATAGGTTTGAACGTACATGGTGCGCCAAAATTATTGCAACACATTCAAAGCGCTGTAACTTTTCCGAAAATACTCGTACAGGCTTGAAAATTTGACAATAGTATACTGAATACTTTCTGAAAATGAAATTATCAAAGTCGTTCGATGCTATTGCCTTTTTCTTCACAAAATCCATGAGTCTCTTCGGGAGCGCATCTACTGTGGCACGGAGGTGTTTTGGGGATAACTTGGCTTATTCTAAGTCCAAATTTCTTCACAATGACTTTAAATTGGGTTGTGGACGTGCTCGGACTCTCGACTGAAAAATTCCATATACGGAATAGTCCAGCAGATTCACGTCTGGCGACGTGGCTGGGCGTTTGCAACTCGTGCCGAATCTTGAAAAGTTGGCCTTCAACCTGGTTGAACGATTTTCGCTTCGTAAACAAGAGCAGAATCTCTTTGAACAGTCCAAACAAGGTTTTTAAAATGTGATCCGTACCACAGAAACACATGCCCCTTGAAAATCCTCTCCTAATAGTACTCTTTGTAGATTTTTACCCCAAGATCTACAAAAATCAGCATTAGAAGGTTGTTGCACCAAAAACGACGTCGTTCTGAGAATAGGAAGCTCTGTTGGTCATGGCACCGTGCTTATTGAATAGCTAAGATCTCGGGGCAGAAACTCTTTGGTTTTTTGATCAGAATTCGGCTTCCACCGTAAAGAGTTTCTCGTCGGCCAACATCATTATCATGTGTTTATTTTGGCGCGTGCCGGCAAATGCTGATTTGCACTTCTGGATGCGTATCAGATTGTTATTTCCCGACAGAGTTCCAGTCTTTTGAACACGATATGGGGTCAGTCTCAGCTCACTTTTCACAATTGTACTGACTGAAATACTGCTCATCCGGAGCTCCAGGCTCATGTTTTCATGATTCGGGGCGAATTTTGACAAACTCGTTCTCTGACGACCTTCATTCTCTCCAAAGTAATCAAAGTTCGAGATTTTACGTTTTTTAGACAGTCCTTGACCGTATTTCACTAATCAAACCATTCCATGGTTATCCACTTTGTTGTTCGTTTGATTCCATGAGCTTTTCCAATGCTACTGGGGCCCACTCCCCTCTTGGCTACCTCGACGAGGGTGCCTAGGTCTATATATTTAGGCACCAATCGTGTAAAAGCGAACCTAGAGACATGAAAATTTGGGAACAAGATAATTAAGACATGCTAAAAATGATGGATATAAAATCATTGCGCTAAAAATGCTACAGCGCCCACTAGCTTGTACTAAACTTTTGTTGCAATAATTTTGGCGCACCCTGTACAATGTACAATTTCGATTTTTCTTCAGAGCACTTCCGAAAAACAGAAATAAACTTATAACGAGAACCTCAAATTAATGGAGTTTCAGAAGTTGGTGCTGTGGAAGAGAAAATCTGGTGGCTGCGGCCTCAACCAAAATACCGTATTTATTCATTTTTTCTCGATTCATGTCAGTTTTCAGACTTTCTGGAAGTTTTCAGCCCAAAAATTATCGAAATGCAATAATAATCGAGAAAAAATGACCGAAACTTTTGGGGTGCGGTGGTTTTCGTTCAGTTACCTCGCATTATCCCGAAACACCCTTCCGAGAAGTAGAACGTCATAGAGCTATATTACAGTTTTTACGGTATATATTGAGCTATCGATGTTGGCGGGATGCGTTAGGTTTAAGCAACTGTCAAAGGATACTCTTCAAAATGTTTCCAATTATTTTGGCTCTTTTATCTTCTCTCTTTTCATCCCTTTTTTCTTCTCATAATGATTGAAGATGCGGGTAAACGAGGATACAGATTCTCTCTTGTCTTTTTTCTTCTTCTCCCAAGTATAATTATATGTGTGTGGTGGTGGTTTTTTGAAGGGAAACAATCTCTCCAATGCCAACTGCCAGAACTCTTTTTTTCTTCTTTTGCTTTTCGAGTCGAGGCAGGCGACGCATGTGTTGTTGCAACATTGTAACATAGAAAAAAGAGATAGGAGGAGCCGATGATCGTATTGAAGAACATCAATTAGATCAACGACGATATATGTTCTCTCTCGGCTCTCTTATCTTATTCTTCTTCTTCTTCTTCCAATCGAAAAAATCACATTACCCAGGTCACATATACTTTTCGTTTCGCGATTCACTTGATTGATTGTTCTTTTTCGACAGATTTTGGGATCTCGGATTGATTTTTCACACTTTTCTGATTCTTACCAAAGTGACGCCTTCAAGCTTTTAGTTTTGGGTACTTTTTTCTGTTAGAAATTTCACCGAATGTTCTGTTTTGAGAGAGATAGAGAGGGTAATTATAACAGAACGACTAATATTTTCATGGAGAATATTATGCCAAAAGTTGCCAATATAAAAGATTGGAAGTCAAAAAAAGCTCGAGAGCAAATTACAACTTTAACAGAAAATGAGCGAAAAGTGAGAAGTACTAAATTTTCCAATGTTAGACATTTTAAAGCTTCTGAAACCTCAGAACATTACTTTGAACAGATATTGACGACATATGGAATTGAACCAGGGTTGTCAGATTACTAATAACTTTTTGGCGAAAAATCCACTCACGGTGTTTTTTTCAGGACGTAAAGTAAATGCTCTCTAACGCGAATACCATAGATGAGCGCGCTGAGTATCGACGCGCATGCATTAGACTGAACGGCCGAATCGCTACGAACGGTAGCCTGCGTACCAAAAAAATGCGCGAATTCAAAAATATTTTTTTTAACGTCCCGGAAAAAACACCGTGTCCGCTGATCTATCCAGCCAGTTTTTTATGTCGTTCAGCTGTTTTTTGTGGTTTATTTGCATAAAAAACAGTTCTTCCATTATTTTTTTTAGAATTAGCAAGCAAAAAAAAACACGAAAAGTGTTGTATTTGGCTGAAAACTTCGTTTTGAAGATGAGCAAAAAGTAGCACGTGAGTAGTACTAACTTAAAAAACGACCTAACAATATTTGTTGGATCCTTTTTTTGGAAAAAAAATTCATCAAAACAGAGTTTGGAATTCACATATGCGATTTGAAAGTAATCCGAAAACTCATAAAATGAATACCGTATTTCGATGCGTCGAAAAGCTTTGGGCAGAAGACGAAGTACATAGTTTGTTCGAAATGTTTGCCAGATAATCCTTTGGTGGAGCGAGAAAACAATACACCTTTTTCTTTCTATTCAACCCCCGCCCAACCACAGATTTTTCATTTCCCCCATTTCGTTCTTTTTGTAGGCGTACAGAGACAAAAAAAAAAACAATTTTGACCATGTGAAACTGAAATTGGAATTCGAATTCCGGAATTGTTTTCTGTCCTTTTTTCCATATATGGCCTCTTCTTCCATCTCACTTACCATGTTTTCTTTTCCTTATTCTTCTTTTTCTTTTCCGTTCTACAAAATTTGTCTAATCTCTCCAAATCTTTAATAAAATCTCTTGCATAAATGTGGAACATGACCAGCAAATCTTCACATTTTCATCTTATGTAATACGTCAACTGTCAGTGTATCTAACTCAATTTTGTAGAATAGAAACCGTTTCTATTCTACAACGTCTTCTTCTTTTCCAGAATATGAAGGCGTAGAGGTGAAATCGGACCTAGTGAAAACGCACTGTTGCATGTCTATTAATGTTGCGTGACTTGTGAGAAAATTCATGGATTTCTCGTTGAAAACCTCCCGAGATTTTCACCCAAACATTTTCCCGTTTTGTTAGTTTAGAATTTCCTTTCCAATAGGTTGGAAGTATCTAGGCATCAAAAGCTTGATTAAAAAAACCCTTCTACTTTCTGAACTTTTTGAAAACAATTAGTCATCGTTTCTCAATTGAAGCTTTCTACTCTCGCCAGAGTTTATCAGTATCAACGATTTTTTAAACTATCACGGGCTCTCCTAGAAAACCCGAAAACACCGCCCCCAAATACCCAAATAGACCACCAAATAGACGCTCATCGAAACCGTCAACTTTGAGCTGAATTAGCTCGGTTCCTGTAACAGATATAAAACATGTGCCAACTTATAAAATAATTGTGATATTATGATCAACAGTTTATCAGATGAAAAATGTTTGATATGTTTCAAACGAGTCAAGATAATTGATTTCAAAATTAACGGTTTGGTTATGCTTCTATTGGAGGAAGTACAGTACTCATTCTTGTCGGAAACCGATATTAATAATTTTGAATCTACCTGATTTTTGAAACGTCGTAAACCTGTGGTTTTATTCTCAATTTGAAACCGTAAGTATCTCGTTGACAGATGTTTAATTCACATTGTTTTCCAAACTGACCCACTGAGACAGTGTCATGATTTATCTCTACACTTCCATTCCCTCCCTTCACTTCTCTGGAGACACCAAAAGATACTTCCCTCGAAGTTCCATATATCCATTACATAACTCAATCTGATTTGATTCCATTCTATTTTTCATCCATCACCCTCAAGCCACACCCTTCACCAAAATTAGTCTTATGTGTGTGTGTGCCTCCTGTATATATTCTCAAGTTTTGTTACGAGACAAAACTGTGGTCAATTTTTGATGGGAATTTCTCGATAAACACTCATTTTCCGTGTGGTGTATGCAAGGAGACGTAGTGTCGAAATTAATGGTTTTTGTAGAGATTTTATCACCAGCGCCTTTTCCCTCCTCTTCTTCTGGCTGGGGTTTCGGAATCCGGGCCCCAGTTTGTCTCTATTTTTTCCAATGCCTCAGTGTCTCAATTTGGGAATATGAGATGAAAAAGAAAGTTCATCATAATTGATAACTGCTATCAGCTCTTTTTCAATAGCGACGAAACTTCAGTTGTCTCTCTTTTCTTCCTATTTTCTCTCATGTATTTTTCAACAAAACGACTGACGTGCACATTTTACCCATTAAAATTGTCCAAAATGTTGTAACTTCTCTCCCATTTAGTACTTCACTGATACTAATTCAAATAAATTCACAATGTAAAGTCTTTAGGGTTTATAACATTTTCAAAAGTTCAGAGTGGAATTAAAAACCTTTAAAATGGGGAGTCATCGAAAAGGAGTTTAGAAAAAATGATCTGCTCGTTTAAGTTCAGGTGGTAGAATTGGAAAATGAACATATTTAACAATATATAATGAAGAGTAATAAGAACAATAGCAACAGGAAAACTTATAAAGAAAAACATTTTTTGCACAAAAAATCGGAGCTGCGGGAGAGATACGCCGGTGGCCGTGGCTGAAGGTCCCACAACGGCAACTATCGTAACCTGACAATAATTTTATTTTTATAATTTATTCTCTCGTTTTCACTGATTTTCTTCGATTTCTCCTTTTTTCCCCAACGAAGTCGCAAAAATTAATATTTTATAAATATATTTTTAGGTTATCGTAGTTTTTATTGTGGGATCTTCGCCCACGGCCACCGGCGTTTCTCTTCTACGGTCTCAAGTTTTTGTACTAGAATAATACTGTAGAGTTAATTATGTACCTTCAATCAACAAATCATGTATTTTTCTGTTTGTGATCAGATAAAGTTTCTTATAATTAATTAAGAACCCTATCTTTTGGACCTCTTCCTACAGTACTCGAAAGGAAAAAAGAACATGCCTCCCATGCTTTTTTATGTTTACCCGTCCTGGTTGGTCACCTCGAAAAGTAGTTTGTTACATTCCGAAATGTGACACCCTTTTGAATGGGAGGCCCAGTTCACACCCTTTCTATCTCTTTTTGTTTAGTTATCAGTTGGCTTTTTGCCAAATCTCTTTCCTGTGTTTCTTATCCCTCATCCTCCCTCTCTCCAATGTCTTGTTTTTACATTCACCACAATCTTCAAATTCACCATGATATCCCACTATTTTCTTTCTCTTCCAAATCTGTCGAATCTATCATTTTCCGCATGATAAATTATCTCCTCTCCCCCTCCTACTTTTCGCCACTAATCAGGTGTTTTAACGCGTTTTTTTCATTCCAGGTATCATAATGCAAAAACCATGAACTGGTCAGTAAAAAATTCAAAATGTTGTACCGAATATTCAATCTTCTAATTCTTTCCCAATTTGGCTCAAGCTCATTTTTCAGCGCAGATACGAATGTGTCTCGGGTGGATGTATCACATTGTGAGTTCAAATTATATATCAAAATCCGTACAAACATTTATTGCCGTCAAATAGTCTCAAGGAACATCATTTGTTTTTTATCGAATGTGCTGTAGTCTCTTTTCCAAAATGTTTTTTCAACTTTATGGTGCACTTTTTGGGTGTCTCTTTCCATTTAGTTATCTCAAAAACAAAAAAAGAGATAAACTGGAACTGGTTCTAGTCTTAGAATTGTGTCAATCTAGGGAATAAAAGAATTAGAAGTACACAAAAAAAGTTGTGTAAAAATTTAATTAAACGAGAGAGAGAGAGAGAGAGAGGTACTGTAGATGGGACATAAAAATTGAGGAAAGTTCACATGTTTCAAAACAAATTTGGATACAGAATGAACCATTGCAAGAAGTTCTAATTTACTTCTAAAACTTTGTAATGAGATTGAATACCGTAACCATTTTAATAGAATGTCCCCAAGTCGTCAACTTTGAGCTGAAATATCTCGATTCCTGTGAGAGATATCTAAAATTTGTCGACAGATGAAATATTGTTGATATTATGATAAATAATTTGTCAGTTGACAAATGTTTGATATCTCTCACAAGAATCGAGATAATTGAGCTCAAAGTTGACGGGCTTCTGACGGGCTTGGATGGGCATCTCTTAGACGAAATACAGTAACACAATTCAAGCGATTATTTTTTTTGTTTTGTTTAATTAAATTGCTCTCGTTTCTAACTAAAGTGTTAATAAGTACAAGGTATGTTAAGATCTCTTCATCCTTGTTTTTATCCTATCCCGAAAAAATCAAAAGAATTTCTTACAGTAACCCGAATATTGTCGTTTCCCAAGAGTCAGAAACTTGTGGTTCTTCATAAAGTTCCGAATGAGTTTTTCATTCTTGGTGGTCAAAACCGTGTCTACAATGTATCCATCAGTTCAATGACCGAAATCAGTAGATATGAGTGGTCATCAAGTGAGGAAGCACGGAAAAATTGCGCTGCTATCAGTCAGGTTGCTCATTTATTTTTATCTATGGCACTTGACTTCAATTAATTTCAGAATCCCGCATCTTGTGAAAATTACATCCGAACGTATTTTGAACTAACAAGTGATACCTTTATTCTATGCGGAACCCATGCATTACAGCCAACATGTGCGGAGTTCAAAAGAGAGAACACAAGTTTGTCTAGGATCTTATAGTTAAAATAAAGTGAATAAGTGTTAATTTCAGAACCACTCCGTTTGATTTCGGCAGTTGGAATGTCTCCGATTGATGCAGATTCCACTTCACCATTCATTCGATCCAATGAGAATATTATAACAGTCAATGTAGCTGAACTCTCATCTTCTGAACCTCTTCTGATTCGAAGAAACGTCGTCAAAATGTGGAAAGGGATAGAGAACGATGTCATTCTGAGAACGCCACGTGGATTGAGCTCTTTTGAGCAAGCAAATTTTCTTTCGATGCATAAAGTGAAAAAGGTCTTTTTGGAAAAACAAAAAATTGGAGAATAAGTTCGAATAGTTTCAGGAAGTGCTCTTCTTCTTTTCTGAATCTCCAATGGAAACCGAAGGATGTGGTCTACACAAAGTGGCGCGTGTGGGACGTGTTTGCGAAGACGATCCCGGCGGCAGGTATCATCATTTTTCATGTGTCACTTTCTCTTTTCACTAATCAAATATGACTGGGGGATAATGATAAAAGACGGCGACCACCAGTATCTCACAAATAATTACGATTTACAGATTATCCTACAACAAAGAATGGAGTTCTTATGAGAAGGCAAGAATTGAATGTTCCATCGAAGAGAATGATACAGACACTTTCTATTTCAATCAGTTTGCTGGTGTTGCTGAATCTCCAAACTCGTTTTATGGAGCATTTCGATCTCAGCTGGCTGGAATCGGAGCTTCTGCTATTTGTAAATACAGTAAAAAATCGATTTCGAAAAGTTTTGCAAGTGGATTCAGAGATTCTGATTCTCCGGATTCTTGTGCAAAAGCCAATGAGTTAGAAGAACTGAGTAGGCTTCGATTAAAGCCATTAATAAAACATAGTAAGAATAATATTTTTTAAAAATAGATTGTCCTATGTTTTGTTTTCAGAAATATCAGCGAATCCAATTTATATATTCCACGGTAAAGATCGTTTTGTCCATGTTTTGGCTCAAGAAGATTCTCGAGATCTCAGTAATCGTTCTTTTGATATCCTATACGTTGGAACTAATCTTGGAAATATTCTGAAAATCGTTATTTCCAATTCTGAACCAGGTTCCAATGTAACAGGCAGACATGCTGTAACATTAAAAGTTCTTCCATCAAACTCCAAAATAACGGACATGAGTTTGTATACAAAAAATGGAGTGGAGGAGCTGATTGTAGTAACCGAACAGAGTGTAAGTCATACTAAAACATTAACTGCATACTATCTGAATATTCAGGTTATCAAAGTACCATCTGCCACGTGTCACTTGGCAACCAACTGTGCCGAATGTCTTTCTCATGGAGATCCACATTGCGCATGGGCTGATGGAGCCGAATGTATCGATATACGAACGGATCGAAGAAAGTCTGCCAGTCAAGATAGTGGAACTTGTGATGTTGTCAGTTTTGATAATCATAAGCCAGTGTTAATACCGCCTCTGAAGAATAGTGAGTTACTGGTTTTCGAGCAAATAACAATCAAATTGATTCAGAAGATTCTCTTAAAGTTCCGGTATGCCTATGCGAAACGGAAAAGGTTAAGAAACCATGTGCCACTGAAGTTATTCAAAAGGAAATTGTTTTATCTGGAAGTTCCGGTAAATCAGTTCAATCGTTCGCATATGCCCAAATGATTTTTTTTCAGAACCATGGAAATACATAACCGTTTTTGCTGTCGGAGTTCTAACAGGTTCAATCTTCAACTACTGTTATTTCTATTTCAGCAGGTATCTAACTTTCCTTTTCCAAATGCATGTATACTAACTCCATACTAATCCAGAAACAAACCATCCCGATTGACAGATGACTCATCTAACGAGCACCGTCAGCTTCTTTTGTGAGCACTCTCACCCGTTCTTCTTTTGAGATTCAAAATTGGGATTATTCAGGAATCTTGGGGGTAAAACTGCTCCATCATCTCGTTCGTCGTCTTCAATGACTCGCCCAATCACCACAACATCTTCTACACGTGTTCCAATCGACGCATTCACAACGTCTTCAATTGCTGATGAAATGTTCTCATCAACTCTTTCCTCAGCCAACAGATTCAACACAGTGTCAATGCATTCCTCAATACGCACGTATTGCTAATTCCATGCTTGTTCCTTTCGTCCCGTTTTTGATTACGGGTTTCAAATTTTCAATTTCTGTCATTTTCGGGTTTACAAAATTCTATTTTTCTATGTATCTGGTATTCGTTGTCTTTTTTGTCCTCCTAATTGCTATTTTATTGTTTTCAAAATTTCACTTTTGGATTCCAACCCAATGAAAAAATTTTGTACAATATTGTCTGAATGAATAGTTAAGGGGTAAGTTTTGAAACAAAAAAAATTTTTATTGAAATGTTTTTTATCTGGGAGAATACAAAAAAAATCGTGCAAAACAGATCAAACAAACTTAAACTCGAGTTATTGTGCTGGGAGAAAAAAAGTCGGAATTGGGTTTAATTAACCTATATAAATGATCCAAGGGCATGCATGCAGATCGAAACTTCGAACACTCGAAGAACTTTGATATGTAATTTCGACCGGAAAATTCCGAGCAAAGATTTTATCGCGGAAACGGTTACGGTAAATATTATGGAGGCGTCATATTGTTTGTCTGATCATGTTCAAAAGGACTTTACAAGGAGAAAATATGTAAAGAAAAGAGAAAAGTTAACAACATTGCCGTTCCTTATAGGGTAACTTCCCTATTAGCTTCCTCGACGAGGGTGCCTAGGTGCATAGAATTAGTGAACATTCGTATGAAAATCAACCTGTAGACTTGAAAATTTGAGAATAAAATAATTAGGACATGCTGAAAATAATAGGAATAAAAACATCACCCTAAAAATGCTCCAGCGCCCACCAGCTCGCACTAAACTTGTGTTACCATACATTCGTGCGTAGGTTGCCGTGGACCAATCCGGATCGATTTGACAGTACTCCACCTCAAAAAGAGCAAAATTGAGCAACTTTCAGAGACTGAAACTTTCGTTTTTAACGATACGAGGATGTAAGAACCGGTCAAAAAGACCATTATCTATTTTTTCCTCAAACTCTCATGAAATCTTTTTTTTCTTTGAAAACTTTTAAAATTAATCAAACAGTGTCATATAGTGCCTAGGGGGCAAACTTGGAATCAAAAATTAGTTTCAAAAAATGCAAAAAAAAATTTTACCACAGTGGGGGTCGAACCAGCATAGTCAATCCTAATGATCATTCACCCTCTTACCACAACACCACACAACCGATACTTTCCTCTCACGCGGAATTGGTAGAGGTGGGAAAGGGAAGCCGAAATCCCCAGCGCACCGAAATCGGCCCAAATTTTCAGACAAAGTTTTTCGGCCTGGGAGTGAGAACGGGCTAAAAATTTTTTCGTCATCGTATAGAGCATGTCTTAAACTATAAGCATGCAAATTTTGAGCAAATTCTCAACCGTTGTCTAAAAAACCTTCCCTTGTCAGCTACCCAAAAACCACTAGGGCCGCTAGGCCGCCGTGGCCTACCTATCTCATAAGTACCCTTTTCAGAATGCCGCGGCCGACCGTGGCACGGCCTTGGTCCTGGGATCACGCTGCCCGGTTTGGAAACAGTTTGAAAAATAAGTATATTTACGTGACCCTTTAAGAAAACGTGAGGAGTGGAGCGACGAACAAGTAAAAAACTAGATTAAATCGCACCGGAGACGCTGCAAACAGATGGCTGGCATTTAAATAATAAAAAGACGTTATATCTAAAAGCTGTTTTTTTTTCTGAAATTTGATAAAAGAAACCAAAAATGAACGAGGATGAGAATAAGGGAATAGTATTTCAAGTAGGTAATTATTCCGATGGCTCCACCCATACAAAAATTTTCAGATCGGATATGAACTGCCATCACAGCAACGTGTCAGTATGCAAATCGCCAATTTGAGACTTCATGCTTGGGGAGTTTTCAGTAATGTCTACAGAGGAACTCTAGTTTCACCTGGAACTGAACAGGAGATTGCAATTAAGAAAACTTGGCCAAGTGGGATGAATCATTGAATTCTAGAAGATTTTTTTTTATTTCAGAGACACCCGAACGCAATTTCGAGTTGTTATTTCTATCAGGAATAAGAAGAAAGCCTCATAAAAATGTGGTTCAAATGCTGTTCGCGTTTTCAAAAACAACCATAAGTGGACAGGGAATTGAAATGACAAAAGCGGTAATTAAGCTACTGAAGAACCTAGATTTCTAAAATCCATTTTTCAGTTCTGCGAGTCTTACGTCTTCGCATTCATGCCGTTCACACTTCAGAACATCCTCAAGAAACAACGTCTTGCCGATGTTGAAGTAAAAGTTTACACGTGGCAATTGTTTGAAGGAATACGGTACCTGCAGTCCCATATGATTGTCCATCGTGACATAAAACCAGTCAATCTTCTCATTGATGTGGATAAGGGAATTCTGAAAATCGCCGACTTCGGAAGTGCCAAAATAGTGCAACGTGGCAGTCACTCGACATCTTATCAAGTGACTCGATTCTATCGTCCTCCTGAATTACTTTTAGAATCAAAAGAATATTATTGGATGGTTGATGTGTGGAGTGCTGGATGTGTTGTTGGAGAAATGATGAAAGGAAAAGTTCTGTTTCCGGGTGCATCGAGAGATATGATGCTCAAATTGATTGCACAAGCAATTGGGATTCCATCTCCGAGAGATCACGATTTTATGAAAGTCGCAAAGATGATTGATCCAGTTTCAGATGTCAAAGTTATTGGATTCAAGGAGGTTTCTAAAAAATGTATGTCGAAATTATTTTCCGGTTGTACCAGGTCCTAGGCAACGTGAGCCAAGAATGGGCCATTTCATTGGAGAGATTCTTCGTTACCGTCCTCGTGAGAGACTCCATGGCCCAAAACTTCTTGCTCACACTTTCTTCGATCAGATATTTACGTAATCTCACATTTTGAGATTTTAAGATCATAGAGTCTCTTCACATATTTGTAGACAAAAATGTGCTCTTCCCAATGGCCTTCTGGTTTCTCAAGTTATCACTCTGGAGGATTACAAAACAGCACAGTCGGTTTTTTTTTCAAAATTTCTTATCTTCCAAAAAAAATTTCCAGGAGAAATGACTGTGTAGCTGGAAAACAATATGCGATGTCCGTCCTTCGAAACGAAGTGAAATTCACATTGAAAGATGCTCACCCGACTCCGATTCCTGTTGCAAATTCGAAAGAAAATAAAGATTCGAAAGAGTCGAAAGAGTCCAAAGAAGTGGTCAAAGATGGAAAAGAGGTGAAATTGCCGAGTGCGTGTCCTAGCAATACGAATATTGCATCTCCAACTGCTGTAATGTCACTAAAGAGAACTTTGGATGCTTGATTTTTTTTTGAATATACCGTTTTTTGAAAAGTCCTTTTCAGTCAGAACATTACTATATCGACTTGGCATATAGTAGTACTAGAGCTCTACGAGCTGTTTCGTTGTAGTCCGTTGTTCGGAAATTTTTTGGCTGGCCGTTGTCCGTAGGAAAACTTTTTCCGTTGCCCGTGTCCGTTGTCTGCACAAAAATTTCACTGCCCATGCGATTCTGGTCCGGATGTCTTCGAGGTTCGGCTTTTCGTTTTTTAGTTTTTGTGATGGCTTTTCCGGTTTTCTGTTGAATTCGTTGTTTTACAATCAGTACTTTGACAAAAAAAAACGAAGTAAAAATGTTAAAAATGAAACAGAACTATTGAATCTGGAAATTTTTCATCAAACCATGGTCAAAAAACTGAATGAGTGTCAATTGTGGTTTGAATCGTAAAAACCCTGGAAAAGTAATATTAATGACATCGCAATAAATGATATTGCCAATAAATGATTGTTGTTTTATCGTTTTGTTTATGATTTCAAGATACTAGAGTTCCTTTTGAGGAAGAACTAGAGTTGACTATTTTCCACTAAAAACATATTTTTATCTTGTACTGCATATAGGGTTGTTGCTGGCCGCCAGTGGGCCTTTCAATTTCACGTGATTTGCATTAAAAGCCAGCGAAATTTTTAAGCAGGCAATATTTGCCTGTTTAAAATTTAAACCTGCGTCAAACGCCGCTTTCTTTTTGAGAATAGAATTTAACTTTTGATTCACTAATATCCCCTCACTGTAGCTTCAATCTTGATTATCTCAGTTCTTATAAAAGACAGCAGAAAACTGTCAACTGATAAAATGCTCCAAATGTCAAGAAAAACATTTTGGCAGTTGACAGTTTTGTCATATGTTCCACAAGAAGTCAGATAATGGAGGTGGTTAAAGAGAGAGAATGGGAATTATAAAATGTTAGAACGAATTTGGTATTTGTGAAGTTACCACTAGTCTTCCTTTAATAGTTATTGGGATTATGTCTGGATCGAGGTTTCGTTCAAAAGTATTTGTTTAGGCTTTTAGAATTTAAAGTTGTAAACTTTGATTTTCGGGACTTCAGAATGCAGGTTTCAAAAAACTTCGAAGTTGATCTTGACATTTTAAATTTCAAAAATTTAGGAATCAAAACATTTTTGATCTGTTAAAAAATGTAAAGCATGACAGTACAGAAACTCCAGCAATAGTTTTTGAAAAACGATGAAAATACTGAAATTTCCAAGAAATTCAAACATTCTTGAATCCTGAAAATTCAAAGTTCGGAAATTTTCAGGAAAGTGTAGAATTTCATGAAATCCATAACATTTCAAAATCACACAAACCATAGACTTTTTCAAATTCAGAAATTCTGAAATTTCGGAAAACATTTTTCAAAAGCTTCAGACATCGGATTTTCAGAATTTCAAACAGAATTCCAGAAGTAATAAAATATTTCGAAGGGCTAAAAATATCAATTTCATTCCATTTCACTGTTTCGGATCATCTGTCGTTTTTTTTTCTTTTTCAATCTTTTCTCTATGAAGTATTTTCTATTTTTCTATGAAAAATTCATCTTTTAAAAACGCGGCGTTTAAAGCCTGTGAAAAATTTTGCTGGCGATTCACGCCGCTTTAAAAACTGGCACTGGCGGCCAGTGCAAAAATTAAAAGCGGCGTGTGGCGCCAGAAAACGCCGTTTTGGCCAGCCTAACTGCATATAAACTAAAGCCAAACTGTTCCACGGAAAACCAAAAATTTTTCAAGTAGGCTTCCTTATCCTTCTTCAAAATCAGGTTACATAAGATCACATTCTGAAAGGAAATAATAATTTTTCCGTGCACTCAAAGAAAAAAGTGATCGAAGCGTTTCAGCGAGTGTAGACCGCTCTGATCCAAATGCTCACTTTTCTATTAAAATGGGAGCAGAAAGCTCAGTTTTGAGACCTCCGATGAGACGGGAACCCGATCGAAAACCAACAAGTGGACCAAGAAGTAACACTCCATCACAATACTACGATGTGAAAAATACGGTAAGTGGCAGCTGATCTCTCCGATTTCTTTTCTTGGAATTTTTACCGTTCAGAAATATGTGGATAGTGAGTCACAATCATCTACATCGTCATCAGAATCCACGTCGACTTCTGAGGATGCAGATGAGAAGAAAGAGACGAAACTGTTTGAAAAAACAGAAAAAGACCAGAAACAAGCGTCAACTCCAAATCCATTGAAATGTCTAGAAGGTCTCAGTCAATCGGAAAAAATTAAAAAATCAGAAGAAATGCTCCGTCGATTGTGGAAACGTCCACATGCGTCATGGGATAAAATAACTACTGTAACAAGTGTGACAACTGATAAAACAAATACAGATGGTCAAGTTAGCGATGAAGTCAATCGAGAAGTGGATCACAATGTGGACAAACTAATTTATGATGTTCCAATCGAATACTGTCATCTCCGAGTTCCTCGAAGCAGAACTGCTCGATCTTGTCCTGATCCATGGAGAAAGCACGGAGCACATGTGAAGTTGTGTGAAGTTTGTTTAGTTTCATTTATTGCCCCCACATGTTTTTGTGTTCAGATCGGAGGATGGATGCCCGAGAACAGGAATAAGAACTCCAGAGCAACGTTCGTTCGAAAAGGATCTACTCCACCCCCTCCACCGAGAACGAAACCACTTCAGACAGTAGAAGACTATATGAAATTGTTCAAAAAGTGAACTGTTTTGTGACAACTTGTTTGTTTCGATTTTTAATGAATGATATTTTTGTTGTATGTCGTTTGGGAACTAATTTCTTCACCATTTTATTGGTTTTCGAACAATCTTCAAAGGCGCTGGGTAGGGATCACGGGCAATCGGGAGAAAATAGTCTATATAAGATCAGCCTGGAAGCTGCAAAGCAATGGGCTGAAAAATAGAATTTGGGTAATGAGGGCTGGGCGGCAACATTCTATATTAGAGTGTGTTGATGGGAACCCCAAAAAGGGTGGATGGGGACTAAAAAAGAATTTGGAAAGGGGTGAACATTTGGGAGAAATCCAGGTTGGAAATCCGGAAAATATAGACATCTGGTTATGCTACTTGGGGGAAGGGTACGGGTAAAAAAGCACAGGAAATGGGTAAAAAATGTGGATGAAAACGAAGACCTGATTACTTGAATTAGTAGAGTAGGTTTGTTTAGGAAATTTTTGATTAGAATTTGTGTGGTAGGGGTCAAAGCTTAAATCTATGGATGAATTTGCGTAAAGTAAGAAACGAATGAATTGTATGTACAGGCAATGGTACACGAAACGGCAATAATTTTGATTATCATGTGTGACATGGTTCAGTAGTGTCCGTGAAGACCAAGGTTCTCCTCTGACGTCCACTTCGTGTTGAGAGAAGTTCTACGTTTGGACATCGGTGGATTCACCCGACGGTTCCGTCTCATATGAGGTGGCAAGTATTCTGGACTAGCCTCGGCTTGGCTGAAATCTCCACCAGCTGCTGCAACATCCCGTCCAGTATTGGAGAGACACATCATCGATCTGAAAAATTTTGATATTTCTCAAATAGAAATTTATGTATGTAATGCAAACGCACCCTGCAACATTACGATGCTTCAACATTACTTTTGTTGGTGTCGTAGATCTTCCACTAGATCGCATGAATCGAGGCTGATGCCTGGCAACAACATAGTCTTCTGGAATGGCATCTTGCTCTACAACATCCTGGTCAACCAGAAGGCGTTGCTGGAAATGTGAAGATAGAACGCAAAGATCAAATCATAACTTACGTATGGTGGGATATTCTGGAACTCCTTGTCGGTTGGGTGCACAAATTCGCATCGAAGTCCGTATGGGCAGAAACCAGTACCGCCACGAGCGAAGTTTTTGCACAATTTAGTTTTGTACTTGTTGTTTGGATATCGAGATGGCTGAATAAAATACTATTCAAAAACCAGATAGTAAGGAAACCAACAACATCAGTCGAACGAAGTTCTTTGAGTCCGTGGGCAAATTTGCACCGCGATCCCATGTCGCAAGGTCTCGTGCCTGATGCATGCATCATGCAGAGACGCGTCTTATAGTTTGCTGGTTGTTGAGTTTCGATGTCAGAGTTTGTGAACCCCCGACGTGCCACCTTTTCACCGTTGTTTTCCTTCTCAGCACTCATTGTGTCATCGTTGTGATGATCAAGCTTGATCTCTGAGAGCTCTTCAATTGGCAAGTCATCATGTTCCATGACGCTGAAAAAGTAGCTTACAGGTTTTCTGTGATATTGGATAACGGAAAAATTTTGTTTTCAGGAAAAAAAAACATCTATGAAAGCGAAAAGACCTGATGATATGTCAGCATCGGGGAAAGTAGTCGGAAAAACCGAAGACGAACGGACAGATGAACGCCCGAATAAACTTTTCAGAGATAAATTTCTTACCGATGGTACCTCAGCTGGATGTTTCTGTTACGTGCTTGGTTATCTCGTTGCATCGTCTCATATTCAAGGCTGGTAGGAAGTGGAGTTGACGAGGTCAATGGAGCTGGTCGCATGACGCTCATTTCCATTCCAAGTTGCCTTTGCTGATGGGACTGCTGCTGTTGGATAGCTGGCTGCATTTGTTGCATGACTGTCATCTGATCTTGAAGCATGGATGTCGCTGATGGCTGCATGGGGTGGAAGTAAACTGGTGCGGTCTGTGGTGGCATCTGACCAATCGCCTGTTGGTAATAGATCAACTGTGGTTGTCCTGGTTGTATCACTTGTTGAGGGCCTTGCTGTGGTGGTGCCATGTAGATATAAGACTGTCCCGGTACCATCATTGGCTGCGAGGGAGCCTGCTGGGTGACCTGGACGTACTGGCCGTTAGAATCTTGATAGTATGACTGAGCGGTAGTAGCATACTGCTGACCATTTGCGTTTTGTTGAACGTATGTTGGAATTGGTTGTCCAGGCATCGTTGCTGCGTAGTAGTACTGCATCTAAACATGTTCGTCAGATAGAATAAATTTCTCTCTTTCGGTACCTGTTGATCGTAGATCGGTTGTTGTTGTTGCGGCGGATGACCTGGTGGTGCTGATGGTGGTAGCACTTTCGTCGGTGACATTAATCCTCCTGTAGATGACACACTGCTGGATGCCGCTTTCATACCTTGTCTGCTTCAAAAGGTTCAATTCAAACAGATGCGTTGATCGGTGAAGCAAACAGAAAATACTCAGTCAAAACAAAGGGAAGCAACGAGAATAGAAGAAGGCAACCAGCCTATTAGCTCATAAAACGGAATGAAGCAGAGCGCCGGCGGTCGCAGTCAAGGTCAGAATGATAGGTTACTGTAAGCGTCGCGAGATGCATTATTTATTTTGCCGTACGCTCCTTTAAGCTCATGTTTTACGAATTACCTTTTTAGAAAAAAGTTTCATATTTTAAAGTTATTTTGAGGTTCTTGAGCATTCCTTGTTTGCCTCTAATTCTTAATTTACTTCATTTTTTCTTTCCTTCTAATTTTACAAGTTATAATGGGATTATTCATGACATAAAAATGCATTTTAAAAATTTTTTTAAACCTATTAATGCAGGAGGAAAATGTAACATGAACTTATTCTTACCGAACTTTCCGACACCGCCCTAAAACTTTTTTGTGTCACTAGTAACCTTATAAGTAAATCAATTGTTTGTTGAATTGAATAATTAGAAAAAATTACAGATGGTCATCACTACCGAGAATATTAAAAACAATCGAGATTTGTATGTGACATGGTGTGTTTCCTCAAAGTCTGTGTTGTACATTGAAAATCAATTTTCAGGATGATGGCAACCGGTGAATCAAAGAAGCTCTCTCGGAGAGAGGTTTTGAGTCAAGACCTACCTTCCATTTGTGAACAGATTTTGCAACTGGCTCCAGAAAAAAAAGATAAAAAAGAGAAAAAAGTCGATTATACTAATAAAACTGGGTTATACCTTTTGTCTCTTCTTACTTTGGGGACAGTTCACATCCATCGCTCGCAAGTAGAGTTTTTGCAGCGTAAGTATTTATGTTCTTGAACTAAATTGCAAAACTTTTTTGCAGGAGATTTCGAGAAGCTGAAGGAACAGATGCGAAAGAAGAGTTTGTGCCTCCGGATAGCAGAAAAGTTGGATCGAGACGAAAAAACTAAAAGATCCCAAAACAACATCAACTCTGGCTCGATGTTAATTGCAAAACCCGAAGAAGTGGACGATATTGATTTGAGTCAGTTGCAGCTTATTAGTGAACAAATAGGAGTGCGTTCATGCCCACTTAAATGAATGTTTTCAAAAAGTTTATTCAGATTAATGGGGATCCTGGTCTTCTCCTGATTATGGATGCATTACCTCAATGGAGACAAGATGATAGCGACTTGGTAAATCAATATGGTTCGGTTGTTCCTTATTCAAGGTAATTTTAGGTTTAGTTTAATTTGCTCATTCCTTTCCGTTTCAGCCAGCCGGATGCGGGAATTCAGGAAACATTCATTGAAGGGAATGGCTCCAAGGAAAATAGCAAAGAAAGGAGATCGGTTGTGGTGGATTTCGATGTTTTCGAAGCGCCAGCTATCAACCGTGAAACTGTCCAAAGAAAAGACATGAAAAAAAGAACTCCAAATTTGGGTGAACACCAAGAAAACCGACAAGATCGTGTTCAATCAGGAGTCGAACAAGACAAAGAATTGGAGGAAACGCAAATGCAAGAACTTCAGAATTTTGTTCCGGACGGTTCAGTTGTTGCCAATGAACATATTCCTTCGAAAATTCAGGAGCAAGGACCACAGAATGAACTCTTGGGAGAACCACAAATGGCTTTTCCATCCCAGAATGAGATGGATGACGTTCCTCTAAATATGCAGACAGAATTAGCGAATTTTTTCAACAAAGTCAACTCAATGTCCGAAAATGCCGTGAATTTGCCTCATATTGATGATCCGGATGTTTCGCTGCCACCTCCATTGAAAAAACAAAGAGTTGGCCCAGAAGAAGAAGAAGATGAAGAGATGGAAAAAGCAAGACGACGGGTATCTTCCAGACCAATCACTCCTCTCAATCAAGAAGAGTTGACCGTGATTGATTCAACTCTGAAAGTTAATGAAACTATTCGAACGGAAGGGCCCTCCATGAACGTCGAAGCGGCCGCTGGTGCTGATGCACTCATCAAAGTTAACTCGCCTGAGAAAGAAGGTGATCCAGTCCCACCAAAAAGCCCTGATTTTTCTATTGATACTCAACCTGTGATTCCGGTTCGTAAGCAACGATCTAAAAAGTACTATCCATTGGTTCTCGGAAAAGATCTGGAGCTCGATGAGGCTGTGCGAGAACAGATGGAAATCAACTATTCGTCATTGCTATGCACTGATGAAATGAGAGAAAGTTTAAGGGCGAAACTTCCATCTAAAACGGTCGACCCTATTCATTTAATGAATATTCCTGAACCAATTGGTAGCGTTGGGCACCGATTACCAGAAAGTCTTCGAAGATTGTTCAAATCTCAAAAGTTTCGGGAGTTTAATGGTGCTGTTGTCTCGGATGAAGAATCGGACGATGAGATGTCTGGAGAAAATGAAAAATACTTCAATATGGTCCTTCTATCACCAATCCGTGTGGACAATCAAATCGATGGTCGGGAGAACGATATGCGAAACATTTTTGATGAAGAATTCAGACGAAACGAACATTTCGAATGGATTGGAAATCTTCCAGAAAACTCAACTATTGGAGCCACAATGCAGCAAGAACCGAATTCCCGTAAAACGGATTCGAACGGTAAAAGATTGGCCAAGGAGAAATATTCGTCCATGTGCTTATTCGACAGTCCAGAAAAGCAGAAAGAGACATATATCACTGAAAAATTGGATCTTCCACCAGTTTTTGATGCAAACACCTTGAATAACGGAACCATGCGGCAGGATAATTCAGCGAATATTTTGGAGTCTAACATTGAAAAAGCACGACAACGGCAACAAAAGAGTAGCATGGGTTTAACAGGCATCAGAAGTAAGTTAAAATTTCATAGTAGAGTCAATTTCTGTGTCATTTTCAGCTGAGAATTTAGAAGAAATCTCATACGAAGCGGATCGTATCCTTTTAGCAAAAGACGCGAAAGACGATGAGTTCGTATTCTTCTCTTCTGGATCCCTTTTACCCGACAATCGATTTGATATTCACCAAGAGCTACTCGAGTGAGTTTATTAAAAATTTTTTCTATCAATTTACAAGCTCATCATTTGCAGCGAAGTCCAAAAAAGACCGTCGGAATGGGTGGATTTCAATCAATTTGTTGCTGATCACACTCGTAAAAAAGCGGCGACTGCTTTTGATGGCTTACTATGTAAGACTGAATTACGAAGTTCGATTTAAACTCAAAAAATACTAATTTCAGTGGCTCTAAAGAACAGAGAGGTTGTTGCCAAACAGGATAACGCATTTGATACCATTTATGTGCATCTACGAGATCCTGCCACCGAAGAGTCGCAATCGATGAGCGATCCTGTAACCGAACAGGACCTTCCAATCGATGAGTTGCAATTGATGAGCGTTCCTACAATCGAAGAGGGTCTTTGAATCGATGAGCGATCCTTCAACCGAATAGTGAATGTCAAAATACTGTTTTGTTGTTTTTTTTTTGTTTTTCACTATTTTATTGCTTTCTCTGTTAATTTTTTTACTGCCCTACAGATCTGTACCATCCTGAATCAGGCTTCCTGATAACTACTCTTCTGAAACATTGATAATTTGATAATTAATGAAAGTAAGTAAGAGTGAAATCGGTTCATTATTAGTTTGCCTCAACAAAAACAAAAAAACGAGAATCACAATTGCGATTTTAAAAATCCCGTAACATGCGAAAACAAAAAAGGTGTGTAGTTGAATATCTTTACAACTCGTCGCGTTGGATGAGCTTCTCAAGAGTGATGTCGAAATAGAGACGAGCCTTTCCTGGAATAGCTGGCGATCTTCCATTGTCACCGTATCCATAATCAGATGGAATAACAACTTGACGACGTTCTCCCTCACACATTCCAGTCATAGCAATGTCCATTCCTTTGATTACTTCCTGAAAGAAAAATCATGTTTCTCCTTTATCAAAAATTTTCTAAATAGGGACCACAGAAAAAAGGGTGGCGCAAGCTGTTCTTTTTTCGATTTTGTTCCGTTTTCCGGCAAGTTTTATTCACAAAAATTTAGTTTCCCGACTTGTCTGGAGGTTTCCATCACAAAAGTTATCGAAAATCAATAGTAATCGAGAGAGAAAAGGACCTAAATGTTTGGGTTACGGTTGTTTTCGTTACGAGGATCAATCGGCCACGCCCACAAACTCTTCTCTTTCACAGCTCCTTTTTTGTACCAGAATAATAGCAACACGCTGTGTGAACACAAATCTCTGTCTCTTCAGAATAGCGTATCTCCAACAAAACTCCGAACATCTAATGTCCCCTTCCTTTAAATCAAACTTACATTGTTGTTCAACTTGAAGATAAATGGAGCGTTTCGAGAGAAAGAAGAATCAACAAAGGTTCCATCTTCGAGGTGAAGAACATATTGTTGATGAATGGTGTCTCCACTCTTTGACTTCTTGCACTTATCCTCATCGATCTTATGGGTCTGCTCGATAACGATTCCTTCCTCAGTGGTCCATTTCTCTCCTGGAACAGCACGGAACAAATCGACAAGCTGAACAGTGTAGTAGAGGGTCTGATCTTCCTTAATGCTGTCACGCTCGCGTCCCTTGCTTCCGAATCCCAAGCTTCCTGGGATCACAATCTTTCTCTTTTCTCCCTTGCACATTCCAGTCATTGCTCTCTCCATTCCTGGGATAACTTGTCCCTTTCCAAGAGTGAAGGTGTATCTGAAAGAATTCGAATTTCAATTAAATTAATTTAATTTCAATAAACATACGGTTTTTTGTTGAAATTCGACCCAATTTCTTTTCCTTCCTTATCAGTCAATTTATACCATTGATCAAGAACATCTCCATCCTGTGATTTGATTGGGCACTTCTCGGCCTTGATTGGTCGGATAATCTTGATCTCGAGACCGTCATCATCCTTCCATTGGAGTTTCTGCTCCTCCTCGGCATAACAGGGCAACACTGCTACCAGAAAACAAAGAAGAATGACACGCATTCTGCAAAAATGAATCAATTCAAATATTATTTGGAAGAAAGGGCAAAAAAGTATATATAGAGTAAGGGAAGAAATGTTTATTCTGAGTGGTACAGAGCATCTGGTGAAGGTCTGGAGACCCCTGTCCGTCTGAATGCAGCTGAGTAATGTGAGTGTAACCAGACAGCTGCCACGCCAACGTTTTTGTAGGTCATTTGCACAAATGTTACAACAAAAAACTTAGGAAGCAAAAAGAGATACTGTAGCCCTCAAAATGGCAAATTTTAGAACATTTCAGGTATTAGTGGGTTTTCAGATGAAATCCTAAATACTAAAATTGTGTAATAAAAACTCCTAAAAAAGAAGCTGATCAACATTTTTTAGAACAACTATTCTTGAAGACGTGGAACTTCCTGATTCCGAATAATTGAATTTCCAAACAAGGTGAGAAGGAATAAGAAAAAGAACAAGGATATGAATGGATCTGAGTGGATGGTCATTATAAGTGTCCCGTCTCTCTCTCCACCCTGTTTCCTCCTCACCGCTACCGCCTCCTACTCGGTCCGTCGCGCTGTAACTTTCTTTTCTTATTGCATCTTGGTGTCTCGGATCTCTTCGATCCAAATTATCTCTAGATTTTGCAGTTCGGTGGTCATCTCCTGGAGATCTCGAAGGAAGGGTCACAAAAGAAGAGAAAGGAAAAGAGAAGTGGGTTACGAACATTAGAACAAAACTGATTATTGGTTTACATTTCGGTTTATTCACAAAATCACAACAAGGTAGGTAGGAGCATAAATGTATCACTGATAAGCCGTATATGGAACATTGTTCCCTGGTGTTCTTCGTTGGCAAAAGAATTTAAGAGCAAATACAGCTAGTCCGATGATGAGGAATGCCACAAAGATTCCAACTGAAAACAACATTTTATATTCAGAAGTCTTATCATATTTCTACCGCAAAGTCTGTAATAGAAGGGCCCACACACAGTTAAGTTTGAGCTAATTCATATTCGTTCCTGTGAAAGATATCAGAAATGTGCCAACTGATAAAATTTTTGTGGTATTATGATAAACAATTCATCAGTTGACATTTGGTTTATATCTTTTACACGTACCGAGATAAATTTTCTCAAAGTTAGGAATCAAGTTGCCCGTTTTATTACAGGTTTTACGGTATTTAAAAGTGGACATGTTTTTAAAAAATTGCTGTGTTTCATTACAGTTTTATTTGGATTTTCAGCTAGAAAAACAGGGCGGCTCTTTTTTGAAAGTAAACAATGGTTTTTGGTGAATCATGACAGAATGTTTGTTTAGTCCAGATCGTTGATTGGTTCAACTTTTCAGCTAGGATTATTGGCAATATAATTTTTGAAAATAATAATAATCAAGTAACACACTGTTTCAAAATTCCATATTTTAGAATCCTGTAAAATCATGCCTCGAAGGGTTTTCTTCAGGAAAGAAAACTCAAAAAATGCATACTTGTTAATCGGGCTCTCATAAAGTTTCGTTTTGAATAAAAATTCTTGGACCAAAATCAGATATGATAGATCTCGACGAGTACTACAATTAATTAGGTACTATTCGGAAAACTGTGTCTTGTCTGGGAACAAAGTTAGAAGCCATGAAGTAGCTGACCCGGGCTAGGCCTTTCCTTGAATTTTTTCGGTCCCTTTCGTCTGTAACTTTGTTCATAGACAAGAGAGTCAGTTTTCCAAATAAGATCATACCGAAGTACTCGTCAAGTTCTATCATATATGATTCAGCTGGTCCAAAATTTTTGGTTCAAAACGAAACTTTGGGAGGGCCCGGTTGACAAGTATGAAAAATATTTCTTCGAAATTGAAATAATATTCAGAATAAAATATTTTCAAATATCAAATTTTACGAAACGAGTTATTCAGCAAAATAACTGATTCATAATAAAATTCCCACCTCAGGAATCATCCGATTCTAGGAATACTCTGAAACAACTCACTGAAAAACGACCAGACTGTGAAGGAAGGAGCTCTTGGTTTGGACTTTGGTGTCGTCGTTTTGGCATCTGGACCAACGGAACTTGTTGGATTAGAAGAAGATTTATCAGTTCCGTTGGTCAACGAAATGGAGTTATCTCCATCGTATTGTTCCTCAATTGTTTCTTTTCCATCTGTGGCATCAGTGTTGTTAGTTTTATTCCCATCATCTGATAGTAGCTGTTCTACGAAGCTGGATTTACTCTAAAATTGTTTTTCTCTTATAAACTAATAATAAAACAAAATATAGCTCACATCATCTGCAAAACTTGTAGTGAAAGTTGCAAGAGTTGCAAAAAGGCACAAAAAACGGAATCTCATGATTATAGGGAGTTTTGGATGTTGAAATGGATGAAAACGAATTTGATTTGGGCAGAACTGGGAGCTCGGAAGCAAGGTGTGCAAATAGAAGAGTCAGCAGCCACTCATTTTCATTTAGGACACAAAAAAGGCGTAGGAGTTATGGGAATAGATGAATGGACTATGAGAGAAATGAAGAACAAAGAAAGAATAAAAGTGCATTACTCTGAAAAATACTGCTGACCATTCAGTGAATCTGATAAATGTCCCGAAGAAGCCATTCCAATGAACTTGTAACTCTGGAATTCTTCATGTTGGTTTGGGATGAACGAAGGAGATAAAAACACAGTTTGACTACAACATAAATATTTTTGATGACTAGGTTGAATGAATTTGAAATTTGCATTCTAGACTGCGTGTATGGCTTTAGAATGAGCGATTTGGAAACAAAAAAGATAATAAAAACGATAAAAAACAATGGGGATGGAAAATTTAAAAAGATATGGAGACAAGAAATGAGAACAAATGAATAGGGGACAACCGAGATTAGTTAGATGAATTTTTCAGTTTTTAAAAATATTTTCCCGCTTTTTCAATTTTAAGGACTTTCGGAATCTTCATGTTTCGCATTTTTGAAATCCGGGAATTAGGAATACTTCGAAATTCCGGAGTGATCCCGTTTCCTTTTAAAACCTTGAGAGGATTTGTAGGAATCTCAAAAAGGAACAAAACGTGAATAACATTCTAGCTACCGTAAAACCTGTAATAGAAGGGCCCCCAAACTGTCAAGTTTGAGCTAACTTTTCTTGGCTCCTATGCAATATATCAAAAATGTGTCAACTGATAAAATATTTATTATACATATTATTATTAACAATTTGCAAGCAGACAACTTTTTCATATCATTGACATAAACCGGGATAAATAATAAAGTTAAAGCTTTGGCTTCAAACCAAATCCATTCTGAAAAAAACCTTAACCTTTTCGGAAATAAAAAAAGATTATAAAGAGATGAGGGATAAACGATGTGAATGAAAACTAGAAAGTATAAAATTGAAAAATTCTGAGGTTTAAAGAAAACTCTCGAGCTCTCAATAGAACTTTGTTCCTAGTTTTTCGTTTGTTTGTTTGCCTGTTACAACTTTTCTATGGTGTCAAAAGATTTGATCCATAAAAAACGGATTTCACTTGCTAAGAAAATAATTTTTGCCAAAATTCTATCAGACACCAGGTCCGCTGGGCCTTCAAAAATTGGAAAAAGTCCAGCTTTTTCCAAATTTTGAAATTCTCCATAAACGTTATTTTCCGTTAAATTTTTTCAAAAAGAAGTAGATCTCGTTTTTGATTTGAATAAGAAATGTCATAAGGATGTCAGACTTTGAACATCATTTCGTTTTTATATCACAAAATAAATAAATAAATATAAGTTCTCAGTTTCAAAAGATCTATAAAATTGTTCACAACTACCGTAAAACCTTAATAGAACGACACCCGGATCGTCCACTTTGAGCCTACATATCTCATTTTCTGTGAAAGATATCAAAAAGTGGCTAACTAGTAAAATGTTGCTGATATCCTGATAAACATTTACTAGTTAACCACTTTTTGATATCTTTCAAAAGAAGTGAGATATATAGGCTCAAAGTGGACGATCCGGGTGTCGTTCTATTAGAGGTTTTACGGTATTCATCTTTATTTCAGCAGGAAAAAAATAGGGTTGAGAGATACAGAGAGATCGACTAGATGGATATGAGAAAATAGAAACAAAATGGGATTAAGACAAAAAGAATTGGCAGTGATCCATTCATTATTCTAGAAGAATGCTAGCACATCCAACTGTGAGGAACCCATTGAGTCTCATAACGAAGTGTTTCCAATGCATCCACAAGTCTGAAGTTTTCATTTTTGGATTGGAATAAATAGATTGGAATAAATAATACCGTTTAAATGTTACATCAATATTTCTATTGACAAGAGTAAGATGAATGCGAGATTTGCATTCCTGGCCGATTTTTGCACTTTCGTCACAAATGGATTGAAGTTGAGCTCGTGTTCTGAATACCGAGATTTCAAAATTAGCCGTAAAATGCTCAAACTTGGGATTTATGGGCTTTAAGTTTCTTTTCATTTTTACCTCTAACACTGTATCTCGAAAACCTACCTATGAGTTCTCCGAACAGCTTCAAGTTGGGTGAATTCTTCTATTGGTGGTGGCACTATGTGAACAACAAACGGCATAAATTCCGCGTTGTAAAGATAATTCACACTCTGAAAAATTTAATGTTTAAAACTTCAGACTTATGTATCAGGTTGCTCGAAAAGAAGTGGTCACTTTTACCTCTGTCTGTCCTTACAATGGGGTTTACGTCTCCAAATTTCCAGAGTTCTACTCAAATAGAATTGCTCAACTTTCGTTAAGCTAGCAAAAAGTTATAAACTCCAAATACATCTCTTATAGATTCTTATTTTCTCTTCATAAAAATTGACTTGAACAAAGTGACCACTCTTTTCGAACGACCAATTAACACTACCTGAGTCGCAGCATCCAGTATACACATTCTTCCACTTCTGACCTCATTTCGAACTGCATCTGCTGATGTTCCATACAACTGATTATCGAGTTCACCCCACTCAACCATTCCTCCTTCTCGAATTTTTTGATAAATGGCTTCCTTTCTCACAAATTGATACTCTCTTCCCTCCACTTCTCCAGGTCTCTGTGCTCTAGATGTTACTGAAATTGATATTTTTGAATGTAAATCAGAATAAATTCCTCACATGGAACGATGGTAGAAAAATAGTGTGGAGCAAGTCGGAGAAGCATGGATTTGATATCTCTTCTTCCAGTACCAACTGCTCCCAAAAGAACAAGAGTTCTCCTTCCAAATGGACACAACATTGAAAGTTTTTCCATTGCTAGACTGGCGGGAAGGTATCCGACTTGCGTTAAATCACTCAATTTTCTCACTTGCATCCATTTGTCATCTTTACTCAAAATTTGTATAACATCTCCTGTCGAAACTTCGAGATCCAACCAGAGACATGGACGATCCGCGTCTTCTGCAGAACTGTAAATGTCCTGGATTCGGAAGAAATTCTGAAAATCATTAATATGTTTGAACTGTGTAAAGAATTATACCGGAGGTGCACAATGAATAGCAGCTGGTTCGAGAGTCAATTCAACGTTTCCCTTCAAATTTTCGATATCGGCTCGAAAATAAACGTCCTTTCCATTAATTTGCCTAACAACGTCTCCCGGTCTCAAATCATAATTTGCTTTCTCGTTGATTTTCGTAACGACCAGATGTCCTCCATGCTTTTCCACCTCCACCTGAGATAATTGCCCAGCATCGACGGTTGTCTGTCTGGATTGGTATTGAGGAAGAAGGATAGCAGATTGATGAATCGGTGCATAATTGTGCGATTTCGTTCCAGATGAACGGAGAATCGGAGTCATCGTTGGAGATGGTCCATCGAGGGCAAGAGCATGGAAAGTTTTAGTTGTTAAAACTCTTTCTGTTACTATCGTTCTCTTCTTTAGCCCAGTTTTTGGATCAATCTCAGTCTTCTCTTCAATTTCCACTTGTTCAAATTTCTCTTTCCCATCATTCTTATTTGATGACGAAGTTTCGCTACTCTGAAAATGAAGAAAGGAATACTGTAGATTTCTATTTTTCAGATCTCAAAGAAGTTACCTTTGTGCTGTTCGCATCTTGTTCTTTTCCATTTTTCTTCTCGATATTTTCAATTTTTTCTAATAAAACATGAAGACATCTGGATAAGTTGTCGGCGTTCGATCTCAACTGAGCCAGTTCATCCTCTTCGCTCATCTTTCAACCTTCAATGGTTAAGAACTCAAAAATCCTGTTTGGTGTAAGAAAAAAAAGGGAAAGATGCGAAAAAAAAGACTAGGAAGTGAGACATGGAACAAGGTGGTAGCGGAAAAGAGTGGGAAGAATCGAAAAGCATACACAAATTTTGTTAGTATGGAAGGGCAAACATAGTGCGAAACGGCTACGCAGTTCGAGGCTTAGAGCATTTTAGAAAACATTGAAATAACAAAGTGTTGTGATGAAGTACAACTTATAACTTGTATCAGTAAAAGTCTTGAAGGGGGACTCCGACCGAAAACTTTTATTCCCTTGAAAAATTTAAAAAGTGATGTATTTTCCTAATATGAATGCAAAAAAGTTAAAACATTGAAATCCCCAAAACTCCGTTGAAAGTAAAAATTTTGCTGAAACAGGTGGCGAATAGGGACTAGGATTTGAGTTCCCGTGCAAGGGAGAAACCTACAGTACTGGCCAAAAAGAATGCGTCGACACTGTCGACTCAACAGGTTTTTTGACTGTAACTTTCTTCAAAATAGAGCTAAAGTGTCAAACTTTTTTGTAAAATGTAGCAAATAACCCTAGAAAAAAATATTCTAAAACATTTTTACCCAGAAAACGGAGAACAACTTTTTAAAATTCACTTTTTGGAAAATTTCGGGTTTTTGGAGGTTTTTTTTTCAAAAATTTGGAAAAATCCAAAAATCCGAAATTTTCAAAAAAGTGAATTTTGTTGCCAAAAAAGTTGTTTTCCGTTTTATGGGTAAAAATGTTTCAGAATATTTTTATGAGGTTATTTGCTACATTTTACAAAAAAAGTTTTACACTTTAGCTATATTTTGAAGAAAGTTACAGTCCTGTCGACGCATTCTTTTTGGCCAGTACTGTAGGTGGGACGCCTTAATTACATGACAATTTTTCCGCCCCTTCAATAGAAAGACTCCTCCAACAGAAGGGCCCCCCGAGAGGAGCTTGGGAAAACAGAAGTGCCCCCTGTAATAGAAGGGTCTCCTTCAAAATGTGTTATTCAAAATAATGAATTTCTGTACGTTTACAGTCAAAAATATTTCGGGATTCCCATAATTTCAAAAAAAACCGTCGGAACACTTTTTTTGCCAAAAGACTTGCTCAGTTTCGGTGAAATTGATAGATTTTCTTGGATTTCAAACGAGAATTCACTGAATTTTTTGATGAAAATTTTTCTGAAAAAAATGGCTGGAAAAATATAAGGGCCCCCTCTAATTGAAGGACCCTGTAATAGAAGAGCCCTCCGGAGGTACCTTGGAACAATAAAAGGGCCGGCCCTTCTAATGCAGGTTTTACGGTGACATTTTCATGCAATAAAAGTTTTGGTTGAAGTGATGCTCGATGTTTCTTGTATTCAAAACAGTTTGTAATGGTTCAAAATGCTACAGTATGCATTGAAAACAATACACATCGAATGTTCTTAAACGTTTGCCTTTGCAAACCAATTGGACCCAATCATTGTTATGGAAACCGAGTGTAAACAAAATGGATCGAGACAATTTGGATTCAGAAATTTTTGGTTTTGAGAAAGAAAAAGAAAAGTAGTATCAGATTAACATCTGTGTGCAAGTGTTTCCATTTCAATATAATGGTGTTTCGGAAGAGGGAAGAGGCATGGGAAACGAGCCCCAAACATGCGAATTCGGTGTGTTTTCCTGAAAAGAGAGCAACGACTACAACTGAGCATGGAGAAAAGAAAAAAGAAGAAGGAGTAGAAGATGAAGAATAAGAAGAAGCATAGAAAAGACGCAGAGAAGTTGGGGAGAAAAGAATCAATGGGGAGCACCGGAACAAGAAGAGTGACGATTGGTTCAGAAGGGGAAACGAGGAGAGAACAACGCCATGAAGACAGAAGACGATGCATGCTAATTTGGGTGAATGAACCAGTGATGAATAGAATATTAGGACGATTCTCACAACTGGATACCATTCGACAGTTGAGCCAATTCTTGAGCATATGATATCCTGAAAAACAAAAGGGAAACTTTTGAATTTCTAAGAATTACCGACTTTTCGGGAATCTTATATTTTCAGTTTTTTTTTGGACTTATACGAAAAATTGTAGGTAATTATTTTCGGTTTCGGAGAGATTTTAAGAATTTCCAAACTTTTCGAGTTTACAAGAAGTTCGAGGAATCATAGAAAGTAAAAAGTCGGAAGATTAAGAAGTTTATGGCTCCTTTCTTCGGGCCTCTTCTACTATGAAACTTTAAAAAACACTCGAAATCTTCGGGAAGGATGAACTTATTCTATTCGTCATTCTCTCTGACCTAGAAACAATTGTCAACCAGAACCTTGTAATCTTGTAGAACAAAATAATGAGTGAAGTCTCATCATCATGAAACATTGTATATGAACCAGTGACCATGAATGCGGCAACTCTCAATTAGAATATTTCTATTGTTTGTAAACACTGGGTGGCCTCGAAGTGGTTCCGATGGTGTAATCCGAACGGCGGTTGCTGCCGTCCGCCTTCACTAGTGCAGACAATGATTAATTGTCGGCGACGAATCTTCTCCTCAGCGAGCACACCACATAACGACATCTGCCTTCGTCGTTCCCGAATTGTGAGCGAATTAGAAAATCAAAGATAGAACGAATTCGAATGAACGTCGAGCAGATGGTGCGATTTCTATCCAGGGGTTTCTCAATTGAAAAATCGGATTCGATAATGGAGGAAAATTGGAAAATTATGCACAGTTAATTGGGGATATCGTGTGTATACTAAATGATATTAGCGGGATTCTGAAATACAGAGCACAGAGGTGTGATTTTTTTATTTATTTTTCACTTTATATGAAGAGATACCGTAAACAATCTAATCGAGTGCCTCCCAAACCGTTAACTCTGAGCCTATATATCTCATTTCATGTGAAAGATATAAAATAATAGTCCACTGATAAAATGTTTATCAAACTATCAAAATTATTTTGTCAGTTGATCACTTTTTGATATCTATCGCAAGGAATATGTGGGCTCAAAGTTGAAAGTTTGGGTGACATACTGCTGGACTGAATGTGTACCGTAAAACATGTATTAGAAGTGCTATCTGGAGATGCCTAAGAACAATTGAACAATCGGCTCTTCTAATAAAAGTTTTACTCAGATCTGAAAGAAGTCTCCTAATCTCTCGCTCTTTGGTCTTCTGAAATCTGTTTCGATTTTGGTCTCTTATCAAATATTAGTTACTTATTGCAGTGTGTGCATATATTATTTTATTATCCTATAATAAAGAAAGCTTGTTTTTAAATTTTCAGCCTTTCCCAGTTTCATCCATTCCTTTCAATCCTACGAGACCGTACAAATCGGAAAGATTCTAAATCCGAAATAAACGAAACTGTAAGAAACGCAACGGAAACAAAGAACGGAAAGACCGCGNCCCAAATTTGGCGTTTACACGTTTTTCTGAAGATAGCTTCTCCGCAGTGGAGTACGCGGAAGCATTCGATATAGCTGTCAAGTACGTCTTCTTTTTCTTCTTTTCTTTGACAACATGGTTCTTTTTCCAGAAATTGATCAATTGGTCATGCCAACTGGGATAGGCAGGTTTGTTTCGAAAGATATTGATATCTTACGCCGCGTTCAAAGTTCGAAATCTTCGGGAAGGATGAACTTATTCTATTCGTCATTCTCTCTGACCTAGAAACAATTGTCAACCAGAACCTTGTAATCTTGTAGAACAAAATAATGAGTGAAGTCTCATCATCATGAAACATTGTATATGAACCAGTGACCATGAATGCGGCAACTCTCAATTAGAATATTTCTATTGTTTGTAAACACTGGGTGGCCTCGAAGTGGTTCCGATGGTGTAATCCGAACGGCGGTTGCTGCCGTCCGCCTTCACTAGTGCAGACAATGATTAATTGTCGGCGACGAATCTTCTCCTCAGCGAGCACACCACATAACGACATCTGCCTTCGTCGTTCCCGAATTGTGAGCGAATTAGAAAATCAAAGATAGAACGAATTCGAATGAACGTCGAGCAGATGGTGCGATTTCTATCCAGGGGTTTCTCAATTGAAAAATCGGATTCGATAATGGAGGAAAATTGGAAAATTATGCACAGTTAATTGGGGATATCGTGTGTATACTAAATGATATTAGCGGGATTCTGGAATACAGAGCACAGAGGTGTGATTTTTTTATTTATTTTT